AACATTGGCATTCTATACACAAATCTGATTTTCAAAGTAGCATTATGTGTATTGGTGCTGGTAAGACATAATTGCTGCTCCATATCGCCTACTGTAGTATAAAGCTATAATGTGGATATTGCGATGAGCAACACAATAACACTCCAGCACAGAGATGTTTAATACACTTGCCTGTTGCTTTTGGTTTTGAAAAAGACCAAAGTATTGCAGTAGACCGCTTTATGGTTCGATATAGTTATTTTCTAAGGAAAAGCATTGTATCTTGTTTAATGAGTGGTTCAGTTGTTCACATGTTGTTTTGGCTTGCATTTGTCGTCCCATCTTTCACCTTTTGTCTGAGAGTTTATTTTTTAACTGTTATTCCCATTTGTGTTTAAGGACACGACAGTTTTATACCAGCTTTGAGGATATGTAATTATGATTTCTGTGAAATTGATGTACTGTATTTGTAACTTTTTTTGGTTCAAATAAAATTATTAAAGCAATAGAGTTACTTATTCTGTTAGAAACTTAATCAAATGTGCTACATGTATCCAAAGGTCTGTACTTTACAATTTCACTTCACAGGTAAGTATTAAAATGTAGTTTTTTTTAATCCGTCCATCCATTGTCTTATCTCTTTTTTTCTATATTTGTTGAAGGGGAGCTTGAACCTATCCCAGCAAGCAGTGGGTGCAAGACGGGATACACCCATAGGATGTCAGTCAATTGCAGGACACACACAGACACAAACATACAGTACACATGTTCATTTACAGAATCCAATTAACATTCCAGTTGGACTGTGGGAGGAACGCAGAGCATCCGGACATGAGGAGAAAATAATAATTCCTTACACTTATATAGCACTTTTCTGGGCATTGTACTCAAAGCACTTTAGAGGTAATGAGAACTCCCCTCCACCACCACCAATGTGCAGCATCCACCTGGATGATGCGACGGCAGCCATAGTGCACCATTACACATACCACATATCAGCTATCAGTGGGGAGGAGAACAGAGTGATGAGCCCAATTCAACCATGATTATTTGGAGGCCATGATTGGTAAAAGGCAATATGGGAAATATGGCCAGGACACCAGGGTACACTCGTACTCTTCTAGAGAAACGCCCTGGGATTTTTAATGACCACAGAGAGTCAGGACCTCGGTTTTACATCTAATCTTTTTACAGTATAGTGTCCTCATCACAGACCACAGGGTGAACGCCCCATCCTGGCCCCAATAATGCCTCTTCCAGCATCAATTAATATGTCGATGGTGATTTAGCTATGTACTGACATACAATAACACATTAACACACTGGTGACGCACTTGATCTTAGTTATGTGCTTGTAGTTATGTACAGGACAGTCGATGATCTCATTAGTTTTTTTTTCACATTTTAGGGTTATTCTTGGTACTTTCTTAGTCCTAAACCATGTTCCAAACCATTACTTTCTATACTGTATTTCATTCAAGCTTCGAGGGACTACTTAAACCAACCTTCTCTAACACAAACTGTTCTGCCTGTAGCTCCAGTACTCACTGAGACGTTGAGGGTCATGTGGTATCACTTAAAATTTTATAAAAATTACCAGTACTTGCCTGTTTCTCAATTTATTCTATGAGCACATATATGATTTCAAAATTACACATTTTGTTTCTCCCCTGCTTTTGTCTAGTCATCTTATCCTGAATTGAAAATATTTATCAATATAATCATACAACAGTAAATTGAACCAAAATAATTTATTACAAAGATATTTTAAACGGGAGAAAACATGGGTTTCAATTTTGTTTTAATTTTATTTAAAATTCAGCAGGCTTTGCATTTCATAGTTGGTTTATTGTACAATTCATGTGGACAGTTTTGAAATTCCGTAGAAATGTTTTGTACAAAAGAATCACCTGTATAATAAGTTGCTAACACAAAGGAAGTGCTCTCAATAATATTTCATGTGACTACAAAAAAGGGTTTGTGTCAATAATGACCCTGATATGGCAGAAGTATTCAGATCCTTCATAAGATGTCCCATTTTGTGAAATGAAAATATTATGCATACACATTTTTGACATATTTTATTCAAAACCTGAATGCTCACGCTGAAGACTTCTAAGGTTAAGATGAGATAGTCAATTTTGTTAAAAGCAAAAGAAAACTATAAAACATGTTGATTGTACAAGTATTCAGATACATGCTGTCAATATTTGGTACACAGCTGCAAGTCTATTTGGGTACGTCTTTACAGACCTTACATTGATTTGTATTATTTCTGCCCATTCTCGAAGGTCTCAAGATGTTCAGCATCATTGATTGACATCAATGTTCAAGTGTTTCCACAGATGCATGTAATGTCAGGACTTACACTGGGTCTCTCAAGGACATTCCCTTTTCTAGTGTAGCTTGGCTTTCTGATTTGATTCTTTTCCTGCTAAAAGGTGGATTTTCATGTCTGAAGTAGATTTTCCCCTAAAAATTGTATGTTCCCATCAGTCTAGACAAGCTTCCTAGTCCCTGCTGATGAGAATCTGAACTGTTACATAATTCTTCCACCACCATGCTAGACAGTAGGGATGTTGTTAACTGGGTGATGCACTTGTGTAAGGTTCTGAATGCTTTTGCATGTACTGTTTATTGGATTTTAAAATGTTTCATTTTGAGCATTGCACTATATTGTTACAAGTTATTTTTTTTGTTATTTTGGGCAAAACAACTGCAGCATTCAATTTGAGAGACGTGTACAGTATAATTGAGTAAACATTCTCAAAGATGGCATTTACAAAGACAATTGAGACTACCAAGAATTCTGGCTTATCTGAAATCACCAGTAACTTTTACAGGCACCAGGCTCCTGCAAATTAACATAGGAATTAATTAAAATAAAGCTGTCAATTCTGAGTTATTTGAAAGAAAAAAAAAACATGTTTTTATTGCTTTCCAGGAGACTTACTTTTATTTACAGTATATGGCATAATGTATAATCATGGTATTCTACAGAAATAGCCATCAGATCTTTAATCTTTGCTTGAGAGATAGAGGGCTTAAAGGGGAACTGCAGTGCTATTTTTATATTTTTGGGTTATAAAGAATCAACACTGACAAGTGCATTTCAAACCACAATGAAAATACAAAGTACATTGTAACATGTTAAAACTCCAATTTTCATCACAAAATAGATGTAATTTCCAGGTACGCTTAGCACCATATTGCTGTCATTGAATGCGATTCAGAACAAGGCAACAAACCTTCAAGTGACATAAAAACTGACCTGTGTTCATAACTGTTCTTATTCATGTAAACTCCTAACCAGAGAAAATGAATACATATAAGATCACTTTATTAGCCAGTTTGACTTTTCTCATACCTCAGCTTGCTCTCCATGAGACACACAGACAGGGAAAGAAGCCTGGGGTCATAGCGCAGGGTCAGCCACTTATATGGCATCCCCGGAGCAGCTGGGGTTAAGGGCCTTGCTCAGGGGCCCAACAGAGTAGGATTCGTCTGCCAGCCATGGGATTTAAACCAATAACCTTCCAGCTACAGGTGCAGATCCTTAGCCACAGTGCCACTGCTCCACCACTATCTCAATAAAGCACATGCTTTAGAACAAGCAAATTTTGCTACTTTATAATGTTAAGAAACCAACATGTACAAGGTGACATGTCTTTGGACACATTATCATGACTGCCGATTTGAATGAGTGCTGTTGAATTCAACATAGAGTAACAACTTTGAGACAGTTTTGTCAACAAATACTACATACTTGTTAACCCTGCATGCAGATCATGTTGAAACACCTGCTGAATCTCGTCAAGTAATTTTTAAATGGGAACCAACATTACTGTGAATGCTTATTACCCATCTCTCTGCTTGTTGAAAATCCCTAAAAAAAGCTAAAAAAGCATTAACATTGCTTGGAGACCAAACAGCTTTACTTACAGTGATTAGGGACCGGACGGACTGGTTTTCACGAGAACTCTCTCTTGCCCATGGAGAGACCATCAGCTTGCAACAATATGGTGACAATACAGTTCTTTCTCAAACTTCACAGCCTTGTGCTTAATTCATAAATTGTAAAATATTGAAATACTGTCAGTGGACTTGTTACCAAGATTTCATACCTGGATTGAGAAATTGGGACTGCAGTTCCCCTTTAATTTTAAGAGGTCTGGAACGTGAAATCCTACATTTTATACATATATCATATTTTAGTTTATGTTGTCAACAAAAGTGCTTAGCAGAATAGTAACTTTATAGCTCTTAAATACTTATACTGTGTGTGAGAAGATGATTTTTCTTTCCTTTCCGAGATTTTTCTTTTCTCAATCTGACAAAACCTGAAGAACCAAGGATGTTTACATTCTTGTTTGCTTTCTGAATCTTACATCCACAACCATTTCTATTTAGCTTAATGTACAATTAATCTGATGCTGTGACATATACAAATGGCTACATAATGTCACATCATGTCATTTGCCACACTGCTTTATAACATATGGTGTTGTGGGAAGCCAGAGCCTACCTGGTAAGCAACAAACACAAGGCAGGGTATACCCTGGACAGGGCACCAGTCCAATGCAGGGCAAGTGCAGGCCAATCATACATGGGGATAATTTGGAGACCATGGTAAAGGCCAAGGGGGGAATTTGGCCTGGACATTGGGATAACTCCCTACTCTTATCAAGAAAAGCCCAGGGATTGTTAATGACCACCGAGAGTCAGGACCTCAGTTTAACGTCTCATCTGAAAGAGGGCACTGACTACAGTACAGTACAGTGCCCCAATCATTATACCAGGGCATTAGGACCCATACAGACCACAGGGTGGGCGCACCCCACTAGTCCCAATAACACCACTTCCAGCAGCAATCATAGCTTCCCAGGAGGTCTCCCATCCAGGCTCAACCCTGCTTAGCTTCAGTGGGTAGCCAGTTGAGAGGTGCAGGGTGATATGGCAGCTGGCTGGCTGGCTGGCTACATAATGTGCAGGTTATATTGTTATTTATGGTGTTACCAACATTAATAAGTAAAATATATTTTCTATTTTAATATTCAGGATAAAAATATAATTTATTTCTAATCCATCTGTGAATCATGCCCTGCTGCTGTTTTAAAACTTGCAGGCTCTTTGACTAACATTAAAAAGCTACTTAAAATGTTTGTCTTGTTTCCATACCTCTCCACCATTTTTATAAGCAATCCCATTACAGAAGAATCAAGACACAAGCCCTACAAAACAAGGCTTGAGGGAATTGTGAATATAAAACACATTTTAATTAGGCAGTCATTTAAAATAGGAATCATAACAATGCTATGGAAATTTCCTTCATATTTTCCACCCATCAGCTGAATATTTCAACTGTTATATGAGCATAAAAAAGATAAAAAGAGAGTGATATTCTTATTTCTCATTTCTCATCTCATTCAACCATCTAAATTCCAAACCAATCACATAAAGAAGCCCCAAAAATAAAACAATGTGGTTTAGAAATGTAGCTGCTAAAAAAGTTAATCTGTGTCTGTCAAGAGTGGAAATGATTCTGCTATTTCCCTTGCTACCTGTTTCATTACCATCTGTGCATCAGCTGTTTGCAGCATTCCCTTCAGGCTGGCCCAGAAAAACGTCTGTTTCCTCACTTCTTTAGGCCACTCCAGGTAGGTCTGCTTTCTGAGCAGAGCCCTGAGCTTCAGAAACTTCCTTGGAAGGGAGTCTGCAGGAATGGGCTCCAGTAGAATGAAGACCAGGGAGTCCTGTTGGATACTTAGGGCTCGATGCTGGGCAAAGAAGAGCTCGTAATTACACCACTCACTCTGTACAAAATTCTGAGAGAGCACAAACAGTGTCTTGTAGCTACCCTCTACACAGTTAATGATATTATCTATAATCCAGTCCCCTGGCACAAAGTCCCGCTCATGAATGCAAAGTCTGAAGCCTGCGTTTTCGAGATTGGGCACTAGCTGGCTGTCCACCCAGCTGTAATCATTCTGACTGTAGGAGATGAAGGCATGGTACTTGAAAGATGACTTGACCAGTCTTTTTTCTTCCCTGTAGCCTCTGCGTTTCACTTTCATCCATACCCACAACATCTTTAGGTACCAGGCTCCATCACAAACATAGAAAGTAAAGCTCAAGACTCCAGTGACGATGAGGACTACAAGCACTGCTATGACAACTTGGAGCCACACCTCACACGTTATCTTGCTTGGTTGATACTGTTCTAATAACTTTCCAATCATTTCGGCTGGGGAGTTACAATAATAGTCAGATGGCCAGCCAGAGAGAAGAGATTTATTAAAAAACGTCATGAACCAGTATGAGTCACAGCTGCAGATAAATGGATTATTCCCTGCTTTAAATTGTTTTAATCTTTGCAGTCTTCTTGCTAATTGTTCACTGACCAAATTAATATCATTTTGATCCACATGCAGCACCTCCAACTTGGGAGCTCCAAGATGTGGCTGGAGAACACTTATGGTGTTGGAGCTCAAGAAGAGATGTGTTAAGTTGGGAAACTTGGACAATACTTCAGGTTGTAAAGTTGTAATACCTGTCTTAGAAAGACTGAGGCTTCTGAAGTGAGGGGAAAGGTAATTAAAAACAGTGTCACCTAAGTCATTATTACTTAAAATGAGGGTAGTCAGATGGAAAGGCCAGGAACATTGTCCATCAAGTTTAAGGGAATTAAAACTGAGATCAAGTTCTTCTAGAGCTTTCATCTGATGGGTCTTTTCAGAGATAAAAGCAAGGTCTGAGAATTTATTTTTTCTCAAATAAAGCTTCCTTAAAGCTGGAAAGACATTAGTGTAGGAACATCCAGACCACCAAAATCCATTGTCGGTTAAGAGGTTGTTTGACAAATCTAAGACTTCCAGTGATGGTAAAGAAGAGATCAGGTTGCAAGGAGAAATGTTCATACCAGTGCCAGAAAATTTCAGATAAGTCATTTGGGAAAAGTAGGATACATTGATGTGAATATTAGGGTAACTGTACTGATAATGGAGGACATAATCAAATATTAGAGCTCTGAGTTTGTCTGTTCCATTATATCCTGGAATACCATAGAATGTAACACCATCACTTGTGTCTTCATTGTATGTTACGTTGTAAAATCCCAGTACCTCAACAGGAGACTGAAAAATGTATAATAGAAGGTTTGTCAATACTGAACTGTTGAACCAGGTGTCTACAAATGTCAAGTTGCTCAGGTGTGTCATTTTTTTTAACCCCTCAAACTGTTCACTGGATACATTGCAAAACGGGGGCAGAAACTTTATTAATCTTAAACTCTGAACTTGAATTTTATCCAGATCCTGCAGTATATTCTGGAACATTGCAGTCTTTTCACAAAATGTCATATTGAGAGTTATTTGTTGTAGGGACTTAAGATGAGAAAATGAACTCGATTCATAGCTTTGCAATCCAAGACCATCTCCCAAAGTGAGCTGTTTTAAAGGTATGGTGTGCAAAGGGGCAAAATCAGTTATATTTATTGACCTTGCATATGAACTTCCAAGAGTGAGACTGAAGAGTTGCAGAAAATTACTAAATGATGTTCTAAGGGCATAACTTTTATAAAGGTTGTTCGATATGTCAAGAATTCTAAGATGAGGTACAATAAGATCTGGAATGATCTTCAGGGAATTGTGGGAGATGTTGAGGATTTGTAACTTGGAGTTTTTCTGAAAAGCTTTTGGTGAGATGTGTTTCAGGCTGTTGTGATTTAACTTTAAAATGCATAGGTTGGGTAAAAGTACCAGGTCTTCACTGCTGAGCATTGAAATCCTGTTGTAAGAGAGGTCCAGGTATTCAGTCTCGTTAGGCAGGCTTGATGGTATTTTAGTAAGATTATGATTGGAGAGATCCACTTTATTGTATCTTGAAATTCTGCACGACTGAATGTTTTCAACAGTCAGCACTTGATTTACTAAGGCAAGCAATGAAGAGACAGAAACCAAGAGCAAAAATCCACCCATCCTAAAAATAAAACAAGAATTACCATTAAGAAATATCCATATTCTTGTTGGTACATAATATGATTAAATATATGATGCAAAATCACACTTTTTCCACAAAATGTTCATGCAGTTTTTGCATTTAAAATATATTGCTTGGTTTTTACCATCTAAAATCCTATTGTTTCTATTGTTCACATTTTAAATATTCAGAAAACAGAGCCCTTTATAATCTTGTTTTAAAAAATGTATTTAATGACTACACTCATTCTTGTGCACAGGCAAAATGAAACATACATGTACAGTATTCCATTTTAGTTTTATTTATTTGTTTTTGTTAATTTATTTGTATTTGTTTTCATCTCTTCAGATTCATTGGCAAATCTACCCCACATAACTAGCCAAGTCTATTAAACAGACTTACATTCCATGTTTTTCAAATGTGCTAAATAGTTCAGAAAGATCAGTGTTTTTGTGTTTTCTATGCTGTAAGACAAGTTATGTGTTCTTAGTGTCATTCCTTGTACTGTATATGTAATAGTAAGGAAAACCACATTCTAATTTTAACTGGGGGTTCCCCTTTGGGTGTCTTTTCTGCTCAAAGGGTTGCACTCTATCGTTCGTTGGTTAATGACAAGATAACTGCATCCTGTTTAATGCATTCAGGTCAAAGGATAAACTTTTATGTGCAAAATACAATGAATTTGAGATGAGAATAGCCCATCAGAATTGACCTTTTTTTCTTTATGGTGAATGATTCTATCAAAACATGAAATGTAGTTTTACAACACGTTCAGAATTTCTCTAAATTCAAAATATAGCCTTTTATTCTATTTCATGCTTTGATCATTTTTGTACAAAAAAGTGTTTATTTGCATCAGTGCAAATCCTGCTTTTAACAACAACAATACCCTCTCTACACTGATTCTACACTGTTTGCTGTGTATACAAGCATCCAGATTGCCGCTGTATTGCTTCAATGCAGTACTGTAATGATAAATCTAATACAATATCTTTTTTTTCCTGCACTACTTACATTATTTTCCAGCAACTATATAATGGTGACTAACATGTTTCTTACTAGTGTGGAATATATATGGAATTTAATTTGCAGTTGTTTTTAGTTCCATCTTGTATGTAAGATATTCCTGGTAAATTTATGCTGCCATTAAATTTAATTAATTTTCTTCTGCTTACCTAATCTGTTGGTGAACTATTTCTATACTGTACAGTACGTGCATGCGGAGGTAGGCTGTAAGCAACAGAACCTCTGGGACTTCACAGTGCTTAACCCAGACACTGTTCCTCTTGTCGTCTCTGTTGCAGCATTTGTTTTCTCAAATTCAGACGTCCATTCCAAGTATTTTATATATAAGATAGTTATCTTGTTTTGTTCAAGACTGTAGCTAGTAAATTTAATTATTTTTAATATATATTTTACTCTTGAAACTTTAATGTAAGAGTTTTGTGTTATACACATTTATAACATGCCAATTAATGATTGTTTCCGGAGCTTTATTAGTTCCTCAAAATTAAGTACACTCCTGCCCTGTTAACAAATAATGGCATTATAGCAAATAATCTCAATTCAACATTTTTAGCACTGTATACAGTATGTAGTAGGAATAACACATGTAGTCTTACTTTCATTGAGCTCCTCATCCACAATCTGTGCAGACTTCTTGTATTGTTGAATTATTTGTTCAAAGACTCTCAGCTTATCAAAAAAAGTTCCTCATACTTCAGACTAATCTACCCAGATGCTTCCCACAAGTCTCTGGTAGGAACTATAACTCGTTTCAGTTAACGAATCACATTTCATCGGCTTTTTGCAAGAGCGAGAAAGAAGGAAGAGAACTGCTACTCAGAGGAAACTGCTGCAGGGTAAGTTTAGACACAACAGTTGGTAAGATTGTTTTTGACTGATTTAGAGCTGTGAACCTGAAGGTTTCTGAAGAGTCTGACTGAATTCTTTCTGCACTTGCTAGCTGCCACTCATGTCGTTTAACCTGTTATTCAAAAACCATTGTGTAGGTCAGGCAAGGTGTGAACAACTACAATTAATTTTTGTAATTTTTGTTTTGTTTTATCTTATCACATCATATTGACTGTAATACTTAATTAAGGGAAAAGGAAGTACAAAAAGTAAGTGTATTCTTGTCTGTGAAATGTGATATACTTAACAAAGTTGTGACATTGCTAAAAAATTGAGGTAAGCCCGTGTTCACAATTTTTTAATTCTTTATGTTGTCGAAAGTGGAATGCTGGAATGTTTAGTGGAACTGATCACTATTGTAAGTTCTCTATCATAGTAAACAAACTATACACCCAGTTAGAATATTAGCTTCTACCATAGAAATAGTATGCCACAAGGTGAAGTTGTTGTCTATACCTACCAGACATACCTGTTTCTACAGTATGTTGTTGTTTATACTGTATGTGAGCAATAAATATGTTGCAAGAACCTTTCCACCTTTTATAGTTTGACATTTGTGTTGCAAGTCAGTGTTCTAAACAAGATGTATAAACATCTATGGCATGGACATAACCAAAAAAGTCAGAAGATTGTTAGGAAAATAAAAAACATATTGCAGATTTTTCCACCAAGATCATTTTAGTTCAGTAATTCAGAGTATCTGAATGGAACTTTATGCCCAGTCGGCTGACAGCTGCCTCCAGTCAATTAAACAAGTAATAGGTTTATTCCATGCTGAAAAAAAAGAAGAAAGAGAACACAACGTTTCGGCCGTGGAGCCTTCTTCAGGTGTGTGAAGTCAATTAAAGTCTAGTCAATTAAACCTTGAATGCCGGACAACACATTTTTATATTGATGCTCTTCAGGATATTCTAGTTTGTAATACATTGCAAGCTTGAAATAATAGAATAATTACTACAATTCCTTAACCTTCTCAAGGTGATGTCTCATAAACATATGGTTAGTTTTTAAAGTGATGAAAACATTGTTATTCTAGATTATGTATTATTTTATTTTAAGTAACCACATTAATAAGCAAAGTGGTTGCATAAGAGACAGTTAGAGAATGCTTGTCAGCATTTGGATCAGTAGACTTGTAAGAATAAAAGCCATTGCAAGAGGAAGCATAATCAGGATTTTGGAAGGGTATCCATTTTTCAGCATGAGAGTAATCCTAGCCACACTGCATAGATAATATATTGCAATATATTGTTATAGCTATTCTAAGTGTCTTTTGAAGTGTCTCCCCTTCTTTTTCTAGTATCCAGGTTTACAGAGCGAGAGATTGAACCATAGATCATATTCTGTTTGCTTAAAAAGGCAGCTTTATCTTTTATTTTGGCCTTTGTAGGTGTTGTGTAAGAATTTGAATGTTTGGTAGCAGTCATGTTTTTTTTCTGAGTGGTAAAGACATACAGTATGCCACTTGGGCGCCTTTGGTGTAAATTTGTAAATAGCGTACTTGTTTGTTGTATGTTTATGTTGTGTGTTGTTTAGTGTGTGTATTGTCATTGTTAATAAACATTTGTTTAACCCAGTGTGTCTGAATTATTACTCTTTTCACCAAAGCTGTTCCAGAGAAAAAAGAACTCCTATACCTCTAATTATACCAACTGCTCAAGTATATTCTTAGAAAAATCATTTTTAAGTTGGGAATTATAATTATTTATTTCACTTATTGATTAATCTGCTCAGCATAGTTCTGATTTTCTCTGTTTTCATGACCCCCTATTTGTAACAATATATAGGTAAGTAAAAAATAAAATATACTGTACTACCACTTAATATCCGTAATTAAATCCAGCCTTCTTCTGGTGGGCTCCACAACTGCAATGTTGTGTTTCTTTTCTTCTTTTTTCAGCATGGAATAAACCATTAAACCATTAAATACCTTCATTTAAAGAAATCTTGAAAGTATTTCATAACCACTTAATTATAATTCTTGAATTTAGACTGCAGCTCAAAATGTTTGGAATTTGAGTGCAATCTAATTTCAATGCTCAAGAAGATGTTGCAAGAATTTTAATTATTGCAATATATTGTTTGTATGAAACAGATTTACTGCAAATGAACTGTAGTTAGATTTTCTATTACTATTCTCAAAAATTAAAAAATACAATGTGCAATAAAAAATATTATTCCAGACCTTTAGTTATTAGCCTTTTTCAGTTATATACTGGATTTGTTAAGGAATAAAATGAAATCAGTCATTAACTGCAGCTGACAGAACTACTTTAGTTTAATTATGGACAAGCACAATTTCCTGTGTTGTATTTAAAGAAAAGGTGGAGCTTCTTGCAGGAATGTTTTCACAGGGCCATAATTAAAGAAAAATGTAATCCTCTAGGATCAGACCTCATCAGATGCCTCCCCTATATAATGTACTTCAGGAAAGTAGTGATCCTTGGTTACTGCTTGGTATTTCATTATGCCTAAAACAGAAATAGAAACATACACATAGATCTTTTCAAGAACCATTATCTTGACATTATTGAGTTACTGTGTCACTTTTACCAATTAATTAATAAGTGGCTCAACCAGTAAACTGGTTTACTCAGTAAACGCTGATTTTCTGTACATAGAGAAACTCTAGGTTTTTGGATGCATTTTTGGAATATGGAGATACAGTAGGTCTCCCATTCACTTTGTAACATCCAGATTAATAGAAAGAGAGATTTAACTCTAGGTTGTATTGTGTTTGGTGTAGAAGACAGGTTTATCTGTTTTTGGTTGGTCAGAATGTACAGTAGGCCTTCAAGATGCCTTGTTTGTAAATAGTATCACTTGTATGTTGTGTGTTGTTCATGGCACTCATTCATAGATGCCTCTAATTATACCAACAGTTTGGGTTTATTCTTGGCAGATGCTTTGCAATTTAAGGGTTATGATTATTTGTTTTGTTTATAAACCTGCTCAGTCTATTTCTGTATTTCTCTGTTTTTGTAACCCTCCTATATGTAAGAATATTGACTTGCTAAACTATAAGTGATTCCATACTGGGTGAATTTGCAATAAAATGTGTATTAAACAAAAAACAATAAATTAATGAAAAGGAAATATCACATTTTGTATGTTTATTAGCAGAGGAAAACAGATTTTTGGACGTTTTTATTTTCTCAGACTCACAAATATTGTTATGTCATTTGCCAAACCTGCTTTATACATCACACATATTCAAAAATAAAATAGTACATAAGGATTTTTTTAAAGACGTTATATAAATAAAATAGAATTAAATAATATGCCACCAGATTTACTACACATTTTTGAATGAAATTCTTGGTTTATCACACCTAAATTAATAAATTGTGCAGATTATTGTGGCCTAGAGACAACTACTGCATAATAAGAATTTAATCAGGGTGCAGTTATAAAATATTGCAAGAATGAACAGAAAACACCTACATTTAACAACACATTGAACATTTTCATACTATACTTCTTTCACTCATTTACAAAGGAGAGATTTTAATAATCTGTATTTATGTTTGTCAGCACCAAATAATATTAATATTGTTTTCTGTGTTCCAAATGTACAATGAATTTGGTAAATGTTAGTTTCCTGTTGATTAATTACAAAAATCATGGTCATTGTCCACTTATACTACTAAAACAAAAGCTTAACACCATTGTATGGAGAGATAGAGAAATTAAATTAGTAAAGTTATGACACTCTGGTTAATCTCAGGTGTTTGGATGGGGACGTTTCTTAGTCTTCCATTCTGGGAAGACCAAGCAAGGCTGACTCCAAAGTTATGATTCTTCAGTGACTTTGAAGTAATTGTTTTTATCCTAAAGACACCCAATTACAGAATCACTATTCAATTTAAGAAATATTGCCTCTTAATTACAACATTGCTGGTTTGCTGTGGAGTGTGTAGGACTACGTGGCAGATCAGGTTTCAAAGCAGGTCACATTTATCTGAAAGACAATAAATTATAAAATGTTACAATTCATAGTTAGCATTTCTGCATTCTTTACTTCATTGAAGGGCTTAAAGTTAACACATTTTTATTCACCATTTTTGTCCCTTAAGACTTTCATATTATTTTTCCCAATTTCATGTCAACTACTATCACTTAAAATGGATACAAACGTATAATGTGTTCATTGACAGATGTGAGAGAGAACGCTTTTTCAATTTCTTTTAGTTTGAGTTTAAGAGCTAGCACCAACAGTAAACTTTGTTATGTGTATTAAGTGTTTAATCAATTGCCCCTGTTTCATTATCATTTCAACTAGTGTTGAAACAGATAGATGATTTACAGATTTATTTAATAAAGACAGTTATTTTGATCCCACTTAAGAGTCTCTGTAATATAGAAGACTATCTGGCCTTAAACATTAAATCCATTCATGAAGTAAAAATTTTGATTTCTTCACAAAAAAAAACTCTTCAACAAAAAAATACACCTGAAAGATCACAATTACAGAACATACACACAAAACCAATAGTTTTAAAAATTGCTCACAAAAACACAATTGGTTTATGCTTTCTTGTTCTGACTGTGGCTTCTCTTTGCTTCTACGGTGACCATGCATCTAATAATGCATTGCCTTGGTTACCGGGCAGAAAAAATATAATGAGCAGATTGTACACTCTCAACTCCATAATAATTTATTATAAGATGGAGTTTTAGAAGATTAATCAGAACATTCAGAATTGGGTCAACACAGATATAATACCAACTATTGGAAGTTCTTCGTTAAAGTTCAGGAGGGATGATAACATTAAAACCTTTTGCCCAGCTATACAAAATTACAGTTATTCCTGACCACCATTCTCTAAGGTACTGTATATACATGTTCCAGCCTACATACTGTAAATCAACTACAGAGCCAGTAGTATGCTAACTTGGAAGACGTGCAGGGTGAAAGAAGGCTATCGCATTCATAATGCAGAGAAATTGCTTTAGTATTTTACAGAAAGACCTAAAAAAAGAAGAGAGAAGCTGAACTACGGAAAGATCTAAAATCACTCAGGACCTCAAATACAAGATTGGTTTTCATTTTTTGTATAATTTACCCCTCTATTTTGTAATCAAAATAAATTCAATGTTAACTGCCAGTCTTCGGGTGTGCCTGTGTGCTGGGAGTTGCTTATATTTTAATGCCACTTGATGACCACGCCCCCACATCATTACATTAAATACTCAATAAACAGCCTCAAATGCATCTAATTCTTGGGTGTCGTTATTCCTCATGTGCCTTAATTAGTTCAAAACATAAAAACTGAATGGGGGCTTTATTTCCTAATTAAATCATTTATAATATAGGTTTACACAAATACCAGTAAAACTTTTAAAATACAATACCTGCTAGATTAATACAAATTGTTATCATATTGTTAATTCCTAGTGGATACAAAACTTTAGTTATGATATGGAATAGGTTTATCCCATGCTGAAAAAAAGAAGAGAGAAAATACAACGTTTCGGCTGTGGAGCCTTCTTCGGGTGTAAGGGAAATGTAAGGTGCTTACACCCGAAGAAGGCTCCACAGCCAAAACGTTGTGTTTTCTCTCTTCTTTTTTCAGCATGGAATAAACCTATTACTTGTTCCTTTGCAGCTACGCATGCTGACTCAGCTACCCTCCTGAACTACTTTAGTTATAATATACTATATAACTATATAACTGAGAAATCAGATGAGTTGATGACAACATACAATAAAATATTTTTCTGTTGAACAAAAAAAATGTATATAAAAAAACAAGTGTAGATTAAGCCGGCCCAGGGACGCCAAATAATGTAGATTAAACCGACCCAGGGACGCCAAATAATGTAGAGAAAACCGGTTCAGGGACGCCAAATATGTAATCATAGTGGCTCTCTGAAGGCACCAGTTCTGTAGGGTTTGGGCATTTACTGAGACAATTATTAATTGTAGCAGTAAATCACAAAGTTGATTCTTTTGATGGCTTTAGAATCCAACCATGCGACATAACTCAAACAACGCACACACACAGGTACTAACACGCGAGGATACATTTATTAATACATAGAATATGCATGTAAACCTAACAGATCTTATCGAGAGGGTTATCAGAATACAAAAGGTATATATTCAATCAGTTACAAAGTGTTACACATATCAAGAGGACATACGTTCAGTATATCATTCATTAAAACCGTTTCGTAAAGTGAACTTGGTTACAACTTCTACATTAGATACTCAAACAAGTACATAACTCTTAGGAATTAAATTGATATCAACTGGTTGGGATAACAATTGAATTCTCGAGCTGTAATGCATTGAAGTTGAATACTCATCCAATCTCTGGGGATTCAGATCTCCTGCGGGCACAAAGAAACAGTTGCAGGCTGTTGCTGTCCAATCCGCGCTCTCTGGCTCCGTGCCAGGCTGTGCTGTGCGGCTTGCGACAGTGCTCTGCTGATGCTCACTGACCGGCTAGTTAGTGTTGGCTTTAACTAGCAAAGTTTGTGCACAGGAGAAAAGATGACTGTGGGTCCCAGCAAGTCAGGAAGAGGACCGGTTCGTTCCTGATGAAGAGCTAGTTCTGAATAGTGATTCAGCTGTCCACAGTTCCGACCTGTTCACGAGGCCTGCTGCTGGTGCTAACCTCGGGTGGATCCTCTGGTTACTCTCTGGCAACCCCCGCTCTCGACTCTTAGAACAAAAGAAAGTTCTGGCACTCGGACACACTGGCCGTTCCGTGGTTGTCCGGGCTGAGTCTCAGGATGGTCAGGAGGCGCGCTGCGAGAATGTCCTGCCCTTGGGAGCCTTCTGCTCCTGGGCCGTCCTGCCCTGGAATTCTCCTTTGAATTCCCTTTAGAATTGTTGAATCTGAATCTGAATCTGAATCTGAATCTGAATCTCTCAGGCTCTCTGTGTTGCCTGTTTTTACCTGGAGGAACTTCAGCTCATTGATTGGCTGAAAGTTCCATGGGCATCAGAGTCCCACGTGGGTTACTCGGCCCTACCAGTCCCTGATTGGTTGATCAAGGTGAGATATGAGTCACTTAGTTCTGACACTTAGTAATGCAGTCCAGATGTCCAACTCGCACTCCCTAGACAGATAGGCGCCAATGGATAACCATTGATCATGATAGCCAGGCTTAGCTAAGTGCATCCCCCTTTGGGAGCTGTCCTTATCAAAAGAAAACATCTTGCATGAATGGTTTCTCTGTGGCTGCACCACAGAGATGAACAGAGAAATGGGGCCTCATTTGGGAAGCTCAGAAACACTTAATTCTGCCTTATTATTAAGCCTCACCGCTACACAAGATTTAAAGTCACTGTTCAATTCATTGGGTATCAAAGTATTAAGATGTAAACTATAAGTTTCATAATGGTGAGATGTGTGTTTTCTTTGTGTGAGTAAGGGTTAACATAGTGAGTAAGGGCAATATTTATCTTACAAAGTATAATGTTGGGATAGCAATAATTCATATTTGGACAATATATTTTATTTTCTTGAAGCAATGGCTTTACTTATAATTTGATTTAAATAATTTTGCAGAAAGTGAAAGGTAAAGTTGTAGAGTCTCTTTCAAGGAGGGGCATGTTCAAGTACCATTAAACCAACACATGGCATGAATGTCTAAAAACCTACTACACCTGCAATGACTTACTGGGCAGAACCAGCAGCATCAAACATCTTCTTCCTGCCTTCCATTCCAGACATGGCCTCCACATTCTTACGCCAGTCTCCAACCTCACTGGTAAGTACCTGGGAGGGAAAAGGTGTTAAGAATTATTCTTCAAAATTTCTCAAAGGAAATATTCTATTTGACAACAAAATTAAAAACACATTGGCCATGGGCATAATACCTCACAATATAGTTTTAAGTATTTTTAATACATAATACATAATAGATATAATCATATATAATCATAATCATATTATAATCATATTACAAAAACTATAATTCTGGGCAGTGCAAAACTGCACAATATACCAAAAGTACCTTCTCTGTGTCCTCCTTCTTCACTGACTTGAGGTTGGCCCTCAAGTCCAGGGATGCTTTATGTTTGGAGCCCAGCAGAGAGTGCAATATAGCATCAGCAGAGACACGCACTCTACGCAAAGCAGGCCGTTTGAACTTTCCTCTCAGGTCCATGATCTTCAGGTTTAGATCATGAATCTGGATAACAAGTAGAAGCACAACCAGCAATGAGTTACAGTATACCTCTAGGAGCTTAATGTGAGTGGTAAACTGCCAAACTGGTGACATCAATAAATCTCAGAAGCCCAGAATCTGTGTACAAACCTGTTTCTTTATTGGTAGGCTAATACTGCTACAGTATAATCTTGCAAACATTCTCAACAAATGAACGCCCAAACAGTACTAAATGTTTAGTTCTGAGACCATAAAATTTTATTAGATATGTTTAACATCATGAACTATTTTTAAAAATAAATTTATTGTGAATACCGTGAAAAATATTACTTCTTTTGAGACAAAGAGAGTTCCTGCCAACATTTAAAAGTATTTTTCATTAGGGTGGTGTTGCTGAATGTCCAAATGTCCACAGATACTTATATTGCAGTAATATTACCTTTTAAAAAGATGTTTGAACAGAACCAACCATATTAGCATTTTGCTTAAAAATATAGTATATTAGCTTAAGTGATCTGTCCCCATAATAGTTCAGGTGGGTAGCTGCGTCAGCATGCGTAGGCTGCAAAGGAACAAGTAATAGGTTTATTCCATGCTGAAAAAAAAGAAGAAAGAGAACACAATGTTTCAGCTGTGGAGCCTTCTTCAGGTGTGAGAGAGACAAGGCAGTAGGCAAAGGTAATGTAGCGGGGGAACAAAGGCTGGGAGGGAGGAGGAGTGAGAGGCGATATTGATGTTTTCTAGACATCATCTTCTCCATCAACTATCCCCGACTCTCCACTTTGGTTTATTACAAACCCATGGATTCACACAGCTACCTCCTGTATAGCTCATTTCACCCCAAACACACTAAAAACTCTCTCCCTTTTTCACAGTTCCTTAGGCTATGATGATTATGCAGCGACGACTTCGACTTTGAGAACCAAGCCCTCAAAATGTACTCCTTTTTCATCAACAGAGGATACCCCAGCAGTGTGATTGACAGGGCCCTTGCCCGAGCCAAAAACACCCCTTGGACCATCAACTCGATCAGGAACTCCTGCCGTAACAACCACATTCCTTTGGTGCTTCCCTACCACCCTAACACACGTCCTATCCCCAGGACTATTAACCACAACTGTTCCATCCTACAGGATGATCCCTCCATTGGGGCCCTCTTTTCATATCGCCAACCACCTAATCTGTGTAACCTCCTTGTTCACAGCTCCCTTGACTGCCCTCAACAACCATCCACACCAGGCACTTTCCCTTGCAACAGAGCTCGTTGTATCACCTGCAAGTACACATCCAACACCACACTCATTCAAGGCCCCTCAGGACAATTCCGGATCACACAGATGGCATCTTGTACCTCCAGCAACCTTATTTACTGTATCTCTTGCAGTAATGCCCAGCCACCTACATTGGAAAAACAGGAAGGAGACTTGGAGACCGCTTTAGAGAACACGTCAGGGCTGTGAAGATTAAAGATCTCTCCAAGCCCATTGTTTCTCATTTCACCTCTAATGGCCGCGACCACTCTAATCTCTCTGTCTGTGTTCTCAAAGACGGTTTTCCGAACTCATACATCAGAAACTACCGAAACCAAAATTATTCTGCATCTAGGATCACAGATTCTGCCTTCTCTTCACGACAGACTACTGTTCTTTACAATTTTCTCCATTCATTGGAAGTTTAATTTCACACCTCTCTACACCTATTCTGACTACACATCTTGATTGGTCTCTCTTTCTGTCCCCTGCTCCCGCCTCTCACTCCTCCTCCCTCCCAGCCTTTGTTCTCCCACTACATTACCTTTGCCTACTGCCTTGTCAATTCAATTCAATTCAATTCAAGGTGCTTTATTAGCATGACCGATGGGTACAATCAGTGTTGCCAAAGCAAATAAAAATAATAAAATTAACATAGAACAAAACAAAAAATAGAAGTAAAATAAAATCTACAGACATGTTACAGACATTTACAACAAAGACATATTATATAATATCGACATATACTGTAGGCGGCTGGAGCATTATTGGGAGACGGACTCACTGTTCCTCAGGCTGTGACAGGAGATCACATACTGGGCTGCCAGATCAACTGAGTTCCCTCCTCCCTCTCCCAGTAGGATTGGGACCTGTTGTGGTTTTGGCAGGTGTGGGAACTCTGGGATTAGATTTCTGAATTTCGGGAAGAATGTTTCTCTAATCCCAGAGTATCTGTCACAGTGCAGTAGGAAGTGCACCTCTGTCTCTATTTCTCCCCACTGGCAGTGGGAGCACAGCCCCTCCTCTCTGGGCAGCCAGGTCTGCCTGTGTCGCCCAGTTTCTATGGCCAGGTTGTGGTCACTGAGCCTGTACTTCGTCAGGGTCTGTTTCTGTTTGTTATTTTTTATTTTGGTCAAATATTCAGCTAGTGTGTATTGTCTGTTTAAAGTTCTGTAGCATTCCAGTTTATGTTGTGTTTGTGTGTGTGTGTCCCAGTGTGTGAGATATTGCTGTTTGATCTGTGCTGTGATGTGGTTGAGTCTGGGTTGTGGTGGTCTAGCAGTCCTGTCCTGATCCTGGTTAGTGTCGGTGTGGCTCAGGTCGGTGAGCCTCAGGACCAGCTGGCTCAGGGGGCTCTGTTTTGGGCTCAGCTCTTGGTTTAGCAGGGCTTTGTGGTGGTAGGAATTTTGGTCACTGTTTTTTAGGTGTAGCCTTGTCTCTCTCACACCTGAAGAAGGCTCCACGGCCGAAACGTTGTGTTCTCTTTCTTCTTTTTTTCAGCATGGAATAAACCTATTACTTGTTCCTTTGCAGTCCCCATAATATTCAGATTAGGACTTGGAGTGGGCCACTCAAGAACATTCTCATATTTTTTTCTTAAGCCACTCCATTGCAGATTTGTAAATTTGTGCTTTGGATCATTCTCCTGTTAAAAGGTGAACTTTGGAACTTTGCACCTTCTGTGTTCCCATCAATCTAGACAAGCCTGTCAGTCCTGTCTGATGGGAAGCAAATTAAATCTGCCACCGCCATGCTACACAGTAGGGATAGTGATGATTGAGTGATGCTGTATGCTGGATTTGCATCAGATGTAACACTTTGTATTTAGACCAAAAACTTACAATTATTTTCTTGTTTGACTACTAAAATGTTTATGGTATCACTTAGGTGCTTTGTTGAAACAAAATGCAGGATTTGAGATGTTACGATTCATATAAGTTCCATTTGTGAAGTGACCAAGATATTGTTGAGCCATGAATATTTTCTCTTATCTCAGCCAGTACCCTATAGGTCTTTTAAAGTCACTGTTATCCTCACAGTGGCATGACTTAACAGTTTTTGCTTTCCTTCCTGCTCAGTTAGGAGGGACGGCGTGATCTAAGAAGTGTCAGGGTGCCTTCAAGTTTTTAATAATTCAGTTCACCTCACTAAAATAGATATGAAGGGTTTATTTTACAACTTACAACAGAATTACTTTGAAAGCACCTTGTTCTTCATGGCTACATCTTTCCATCTGAGAGACCTTACAAAGATACTGTAGGTGTATCTATTCTGAAATCATATGAACTACATAGAGACCCCCCTCAGCTAATTTTGAGGCTTGTTAAGGAACATTTCACTGTTCACCTATATTAATCTGGGTTTGCCGTAACAAATGTTTACTACTTATACAATCACAGCTTTTAAAAATTTTGTTTACATTTATTTGCTGTTTCTTTCTTTTTTGTTTTGAATACATCGATTAGGTTTGTGTAGATAATACATTTGAACTGCTACTTAAAAGTGTCAAAACTGCAAGCTTTACAGTGAAAAAACTTTATTTTTGCAATGTATTTTGCTGAAATATCTTCATGCATAAAACATTTTTTGTTTGGTGACGTTTCTTTCCCTCTGAAGAAAGGCTTGTACTGATGAAAAACAATTGCAAATGTTTAAAAACAAGTGTTGAATTGGGTAGTGCAAGGGATCACTTTAGACACTACTCACTCCATTACCTCTCGAGCGTTCTTGTTGACTTTGGCCTCGATGTCATATCGTTCCTCATCCACCACATCAATCTTTTCATGAAGCTGCCTGCACAGTTTCTGTAATCAAGCAGAAGACAATCAAGCTGTTTAAATTTTAGAGCTGAATGAAGATTGGCTTGTGCAGGCACTGCAAAATACCTATCAAGAAATATATCTTGTGCAGTAAATTTGTTCCACTAAAGAACATTAAGTGTAATTTAAAAAGTGTGCAAAAAGTACAAGTGTAAATAACAGACAGTTATAATATTAAAGGGAATGATTAGTAAAGTCATCTTAAGGCATAACCAAAGTTACACATTAAAAAAAAAAACTTTCCTTTAGTTAAAAATGTTCGCAGAATAAGCAATGATATTCTCTCCACATACAGGTGTGATAGTGTAATGAAAACCCTCACCTGCAGATCTTCCAGAGTGAGTCCTGTAAGCTGCAGGGGAGGAACTCTTTCAGCCAGATATTTGACCTTCTCTTCATCCCTGTCTACCTTCTCTTTTTCCAGCTCCTCTTTAGCTTTACCCAGCATTAGCATCTGCAGACAGGAGAAGTTGCCTGTTACTGCAGGAACTGCAAAGGAGCAGTGTAAAGCACCACCCCTGTTCTCCTTTCACAATCCATTGAAGTTCAAGCTCACCTACTTTATACAGTATTTGATCTTTAAATTATTTTTAAAAAGCATTTATTATCTTGGCTGGCATGGTCGTGTAGTGATTAGCATTGCTGCCTAACAGCACTAGAGCCCTGGGATCAATTACTGGGGTGCAATCCGTGTGGAGTTTGTAGGTTCTCCCTGTAGATAGATAGATACTTTATTGATCCCGTTAGGGAAATTGCAGACCCACTGTACCCAAGTGGGTTTCTTCCAGATGCTTCAGCTTCCTCTCACAGTCTAAAGACATACTGGTAGTTAATTGGCTTCTGTAAAATTTATGTGAGTGTGTATTTGTTTATTTATCCTGTACTGGTCGTGTGTACTGTACTGTACTCTAACATCTGGAAAACGGTACCGTAGCATTCGGGCCCGTCTACCAGACTCAGAGACAGTTTTTACCCCCGCACTATCAAACTATTAAACTCCCAGAATCTCTCACTCTCACTCTCACCTCACCTCTCACCTATGATCTGAACTTCACAGTACCTTCTTTCTTACCAAAAACCCAAACACACATTGAAATCTACCTCTACCTTACATTTCAAAAAGCTCACTCCCCATAATTTCTATCCATTGATTTCATTCTGTTGATGCATGTTTTTGCACATCTGATGTTGTTTTGCACATTACCTGTTACCTTTTTGTTGTTTTGCACATTGCCTGTTGTTGTTTTGCACATTGCCAGTTGTTGTTTTTGCACACTGCCTGTTGGCTCTGTCTTTCTTTTATTATACAATTGTGTTGTTGTTTTTTTGTACTACTTATCATCTGAGAGCTAGCTAAATAGCATTTCGTTATACCATATACCTGTATAATGACAATAAATTTGAACTTGAACTTGTACTGGATAAATGAATGGCTGGACTTATTATCTTATTTTCTTAAGTGAGACTTCCATACAGCTGTTTATGCTTAGGTGTTCATTGTGCCCTGCTACAAGTTTCTTCCAGCATCAGCAGAACTTCTTAAACCCAGAAACGAAACAACGGGAGAATCCAAATCACAGTATGTGATGTTGTAAAAGGGCCAATGATGAGTTTAGGAAGAAACCTTGTAATGTCTAGTAAGGTGCATATGCATTTTCACAGCCTGTGTCACTTTTGTAAAACATTGTGTTTCCCACAATATGTGAAAATTTAATATTTAATACTCACGTGACTTATGCAAGAACTGCAATCACCATTGTAGACCTGCCTACTGTATATAGCACCACAACCGCCCAGGTGTGCCACAGTATACAGTATACTGTTTTTAACTGACTGAATATTAACAATTTAAAGTCTTCTATTGTGACAAAGATATTGTATTTAGACATAAACTATGCACTGGATTTTGATCTGCACAGTAAATATAACTGAAGTGAAGGATTTACCTCTTCACTCTACACCACAGCAGGCTGACTGGGAATGAAAAACATTTTTGTGTATACAAATTAGAGTAAAAGAAGGCTATCAACACAATCATTGCTATTGTGGCCGCACTTATTGAGAATAAAAACAACAAGCAAACATGTTTTATTCCATATGGTACTTGGTGACTCTAAGATGTCAGGCCAGTACTTACATTACTAAACACACCATACCTTGAGAGAAAGCTTTCGAGAGGCTGATATCTTTGACTTAGGCTGTCAAACAAAGAAAAAAGACAACATTATTACAGGTATATAAGAATGTGAAGCACTTATACTTCCTTTCTGTTTTGTTTTTGGACATCTTAGGAAATGATTATTCAATTTAATATTTTCACACCCAAAGCATCATTTTACTACAAAACATTTTAAATAACTACAATTACGTGGTATGAAAATAAGAAAGTATGGGCCTAGATACAATGTTGCTTATTTAACCTTTTGAGATTTCATAAGATACAGTATTTATTGATAGTAGTTGAACTACTTCTCAACATGAATTTGTACTTTATACAAAACCAGAACAAAAGACCTGCACACTCCAGACCGAGCACTGTGAGTTTGATTCTCAAGCTTATGTAATGATCCCAAAGAAACTCTTGTTATTGCAAGTCATGCAAAGAGAGAGAAAAAAAAGACAAATTCTTAATCAAAGGTGAGGACCTACTGTAGGTGTCCTAGCTGAAAGATACCTTGTCATGGGTCTCCACTACTATTTTAGATGGTGGTTCTGTATTAGGAGACGGGGCAGCCTTTTTTGGGGGTGCTGGCTTGGGGGGCTCAGGTTCGGGTTCTGGTTCAGCTTCCTGCTCCTCCTCTACTACAGTCTCCATTTCAGTCTCTTCAATGACAGTCTCAGTGAACAGCTCTCCCTGCAGAGACAAGTGAAGAGTTGATTATATAGTGCAACCTACTTACCACATTTCTTGCTCAAAGTAATGTTGAATAATAAATCAGCATTCTTGTTTTGTGAATCTTTTACTGAAAGTTTACTGAAACAAAATTGAATAAAAATATATAATTTATTGATTCTAGATTATAGAAATCTCCTGACTTAAAAAAGTATAGCTACTGCATGTATGCTTCAATTTCTTTGTGAGAGTAATGGTGTTCTCTGGTAGTTTAAATAGTTGGATTTTTATTCTTCATTTATATTTTGGTTTCTGCAATGAAAATGTGTGCATTACAGTGAAGAATTTTGTTTTGAAATTAGATTTAGTATCCTTTTCCTCTGCTGATTCTTTTTCTAATTTCTGACAGGGCTTCAATTGATAATTTGGCAGGTACTATATGTTAAATTAATTCATGGATACTCCGCTCAAGCTGAGTGAAGACCATGTCATGTGGTTGTCGCATTAGGTTCAAGATTTGTAGCTATGAGAACAGGTGAGGGCCAGAGGAAACCTCAGGAAAACTGATGGGCTTTGAAAATATTGTTCGCTTCTGGGATGGTGGAACAAGCAGCAGCAGAAATTATGCCAGGCACAGCTGACATCTGTAAATTCATTGTGCTGGTAAAAAACAAACCTAAAACAGGCCTTTGCACTAGATCTATCTTCACCTGTAGTGGGCGACAAGAATACTGTTATGTATTCCTGTCCTAGCACTATTGTGAGATACTGCTGTGTAATGGAATTTTCATTGAATTATTTGCCACCAAGCACCAACAGATGCAATCACCTGTCATGGTGTTGGGTGCAACTGTGCCTTCTTGTAAACTACACTGGTATTCTTTGAATTCTTTTTAACAATAACCCAGTTACACAACATTTTCCATCATTGATTTCTCGATATCTATACCAAAGATCATCTGCCAAAAAAGTGAACTATTTTAATTTGAGATAGAAGAGAAGGTGGAATTTGTGTCACAGCTCCATCGTAAAAGGCTCAAATAAATAGACATGGACCTCACTGAGCACATGTGGACAAAGCATAGTAATCTAATGTGGCCTTTTGGGTAAGTAACATACTGTATACATGATTAAATAAGCAAAATGGGTGAAATGGCCTGTTCATATTTTTAACATTTTTGCTCTTATAGTCTGTAATTAACATTAACTAACTATAATGTCAATACCGTTTTAAACCGTCTTAACTTTCCAAACATAAAACAGTCACAGTACAGTGCAGTCACAGTACAATCCCATAATCAATAGTATTAAGTATAAAGGGTATATTGTATTTCTTTCTATATTTTCTATATTGTAAAGTTTCTAAAAAGAAAATAAACAAATACCATTAGCTAACAAGTTACTTCTTTATTTTTGCCAATAGTGTCAATACTAGGCTAGACCATATAAATATATAATTATGTTAGCTGGAACATTACAAAGTCATACAGTATGTTTCGAATATGAATAGAATATGGAAAAAAGAGAATAAAAGAGAAAGACTTACCTCTCTTTATTGAAAGTATTTGCAAAAAGGGAAAGGAAAAAATGTTATCGTTGTTTTAGAGACAGGAAAATACAGGATCAAAAGCTTTTAAATGGATGTCAGCATCCCATGAAAAACAATAGCTATATTTCTTAGTCATCTTCTGCCAAATTACATCTGCCTAAGTACTATTTATCTTAAAAGTCATTCATACATGTACTGTACTGAAATTAATCACTTACTGTACAAAGAAACTTTAAATAAAACATTTTTTCATTACGTGGTTCCATTCCTGACAGTTTGTAGAATTCAGGTAAGAAACACTAAATATTAATATGCAATTCTAGCGTTTAAAACAATTCCAGCATGTACAGTACAAACACATTTCCATGAATGCTTAAATCCAGATAACACATTTGCTATGATTATGTATTTTGATTCAAGTTAATATTTAAAACCAAACAGACAGTACTCACTGGTCATCGGTCATTGTTTAAATTTAACCTGCGAGAAAATAAAAAGATACTATGAAAAAGAAGTGTTTAGATGCTCGCAGAAAAGTGCTGCTTTACTAAGGGAAAATATCTTAGCAATGTAGTGATAACTCATCAGTACTCTTTACTTATTAAATTATTAAAAATATTAATTATTAAAAAGGCTAAAAACACATTATAAACTGATACAAAAATTCTTAAATAATAAAATAATCTGAAATAATCCCAGAATTACATACAAAAACAACACTTGAAAAAACATTATACTGCTACTTACCTGTGTGTGTTACAGATCGATAACGTTTCTACAGCCTGTGAGTAACAATGGGTGTTTTTGTCTCTGCGCAGTGACAGGACAATATATATAGCTTGGAAAAACTTGTAGCTGGTGCTCAAGGAATGAAACAATACCCGGCCCGACAATGTGACAGGGTTGGGGCGAACATTAAGGTGACCAACAACCTATGTTCCCGGGTAATTTTACTTGGAAAACAACACTCTGATGACTTTTGCAGCTCAGTGATCGAACACTTCCATGAATTTCTGAAGAATGACAAAAATAGTGGTTCAAACAGTGGCAAACACATTTTTGAGGTAGTTTCAATTAACTTTTTATTATCCCCAAGAGTCTAATACATCAATACAACAAAACAAACACCAACAACAAAGAGTTTAGGACAAACAATATTTCAGGAAATGAAATAATTATTTTATATTATTTAAGAGTGAAATTACACAGGGGAGTCTATTTCTCTTATGCTTTGGAACACAGAAGCAGTAGTATAAACACACAGCGCAAGTGGTGTATCACACACCCCTAAATGCTGTTAGACTTTATAATTATCTTATATACTGTATACAGTATATAGAATACATTTATGTTTACCTGATTTACCAAAATTATATTGCTATTTATGTTAATTATTTTCAGTAATGATGTTAGTAAACCAAAAATAAAAACGTTTTAAAATAGTTCTGTCTTACTTAAATAAGTTAAGGTTCCTTTGGAAGGTTCCTTTTTTAAAAATAGTCTCACAACATTTATCCCATCTTAAATCAATCCAAAATACTTGTGATCATCAGTCTGACCATTTATTACAATGTTGAGTCATTTTGTTTAAAAAAATTAAACTCCAAAGAGAACACATTGTACCATTCAATAAAATAATTTAGAATACGTTAAAAATATTATTCTGAGTTCTTTAATAAGATGACCAGGGGTGCGTCTTCAGGAAATGTAAAACAAAATGTAGAAAAAAAGAATTAGCCTTGTGGTAACCCAATAGAATTGACACATAGTCCACTGCAAAGACCTATTCAAAATGATAGTGTGACATTACAGGACAGTGTGGATAATAGTCTGCATTATTACCCATGTCAGGCTTTGTACATGAGTCGTAGTTTTAGCATTTTTATATTACATCTGCAGTGGCATTTGAATTTTCCTTTAATTTCATTTTCAAATACTGGTATTTATGTATCCCATGACAGTCTTTGTCCCAAATTTTGACAAATTATGGTACTGACCTTCGCAACGAAAAAGTAGTATTAATATAGTTGCCATGCCTTTATATATTTGGGATACTGATATATTTTTTCATGTCACATCTTCTTTTAATCTAGTTCTCATGAGATGATCTGGTGGTTTTCATAGAATACTTTTGTGTGAAGCTTATCTGTCTATACCAGTCTTACCAATAAAAGTCAAGTCCATTTGTATCTGTTTCATTCTCTTTTAATGGGAACACATGACAAAAATGTTGTCATCACAATCATAGTCTACAGCTTTCCGAGCGTTACCAGATGTCTATACTATTTATTCATAACCTTTCCATGGCTATTCATAACCTGCATTCTACATGTACAGTATGTATAATACCTGTTGTTATATTTATCAGTTAATAGCACAGAGTGTGACACAATGATTGTATGTCATGGTAAAATAGTTTCCCATGCATGGATCAAATAAATCTGGATTAATCTGAGCTACTGGAATTAGCACGAAAGGATTCTTGTCACCATGAGAAAAAGTAAATGATATAATCTACAATTATCAGCACTTTTCTTTAAATATAGATCATAATTAACTGTTATTTCCAACACTTTATATTTTCATCTCTATATAATCACTTTCTGTAAATTAATAAGCATCTTCCACAGATTTCTAATGGTAGATATAATTGGTTTAACAATCCATAATTATAGATAGATACTTTATTGATCCCGTGAGTGAAATTGCAGTGCAACAGCAGCTTAACGCAGACAACACAGACAGTGTAACGAATGATACAATAATAATAATACGATACATACAATACAATCAGTAGAAGAGTTACTCGCAGTCCAGAACACACAAAGAACATAACAAAACCAGAACAGATCAGTACACAACATTATACTCAACAATTATACTCAATTATACTCAACAATTCAAAATCTTTTAATCAAAAAAAAATGTTTGAGGGGTAAACTTACAATGATTAAGGTGCAGTATAAAAGATTGATTATGATTCTGCTTTGTTATTTGAGATCTTGTACTAATTTTCTGGAATAGGAATAGTTTTGCCAAGATCACTATATGGCATGGTCTAGATTAGATGGTAAGCATTCCTAGATCTTTTTAAAGTAAAAACACATTTTATTCTTGCAAACCTCAAATATCCAACAGTAATCCCAGATAGGAATTATAGGATATAGGAATATCCAGTCTGGATAGGAAATGAAAATCTCCTGATATACCTGGAAATACGTGGTATTTTTAATAAATTCAACTCTTGCTTGCTAGCCTATCTAAAGTTTTCCCATAAATCAATATGGTGAAGTAATGTCTGGTAAAGCAAAAGGTCCCTGCTGCCATTTAAAACTGGTTTAGGGTGTGCCACCATGATTTTAACAGGAAGAATTGAAAAAACGATTTAATAGCTCAGAAAGAAATGCCTGTGTGCACTGCACCCTGAAAGAAAATGAACCTGAGGTTGGAAAGCACACAGTGGCTGCACCCTCCAGCACCCAGTCAGCCTGAAATACACAGTCAGGAAACAATAATGAACAGGAACTACTGTAACACAAATTTTTCTAATTTTTCTGTCATTAAATATACTCAATTACCACTTGAGTTTATAACAAATGTCCAGGTATCCCTATATTTAATATATTTATATATTTATTTAAATCAGAAAAGCTTAAATAAAAACCAGCTTGAGAGAAGTACACTATTATATAAACATCAGCCATGATACCAGTAGAACAAGCATAAGACATATAGCTATGACACATTTAATTAGATGTCCTTCAGTCCTTTATGTCTTCACAGCTCCATATCCATTACAATTATATTTTTTGCATGGCCTTCTGTAAATGCATTAAGGGAAGATTATTTGATGTGCTATCTGTTCTAGTAGATGTAGTGTGATACCACAACAAACTTGCCAGAACCATTTGTCAAGAATTGCATATGTGAAACAAATTAGAATCCAAACATTACCCCCGTGTGTGTCGTTTTGGTGCAAGGCTTAAGTGATATTTTAACATAAAGACCAATTAAATAACAGGACAAAATGAAATGAATTATGTCTTTTAACAATGAATAGCCTTTTTCACTGACAGAGCCTGCTTCTTACTTTAAAAAAGAAGGACATTTCAGTGGCAGATGTTTTAGAACCTGAGATGACATGACATGGGTGACAATACCTCAGTATGCACCAGCTATTTGATAATAAATCTTCACTTTGAAAAATGTTAAGCCAGTAGCTGTTCAAATAGAAGAAAACCATTTACAAATCACTGGTAGTAAGATGGAGCTTCACAACATGAAACAATTACATCAGTGGATGTAAAGAAATGAAAAAGTAATCTTCCTTATACATAGCCTTCTTTTACTGTTCTTCTGATGTTAAATAGCTGGTTTGTCCTCTACCAAAGCTGGCATGCCTTGACAAGTAACCTTGATACAGATGAACAGTATTTTGGCTGTGAGGGTAAAAAAGGATGTCATGGATAGCATAAATTCTCAGATCGCATAACATCATAACTAAATATATCTGGCTATATTAGCACATCTCCCCCTAAGGCAGGCCTAAATGACCGACAAGTCCAGTGGCTTGTCATTCAATTTATCTTAATCCACGAAACACAGAAGGCTCAATTTTCAACAGCATCTGCTTCCTTCTGATAGTTATCTGGAAGTAAAGGCAAATTTTCCTAAAAGTATTCCAAACAAAACTGGACAGTAAAGCGGTCTATGAAAAATGCTTAGATTATACTGGAGGTTGCCGCTTTTTATGTAACATGGCATTTTTTACACTCAGAATATGTTCGTAATTTTTTTGCCTGTTCCTTATTTCACATTTCTGTAAATTCCTGTAATTATTTGTCCTTTTTCTTAAACATATGCAAGGTGGTTTAATGTTTTAGTTATTTGCATTCAACTATTACATTTTTTTTACAATTTGTCTGTAATATGGAAAATGAAGAGCATAGTCTGTTTCCCTTTACTTTGGGCAGAGATGGCCAATTTTGCCTAATTTTTCTGTTATTAAAATATAGGCATGCACTACTTGAGTTTATAACACAAAATCCAGGTATCTCTATATTTAATATATTTTATATTTTTATCAGATGAACTCCAATAAAAAACAGCTTGAGAGTAATACACTATTGTATAAACATCAGTCAAGCCTTTATTACCATAATGTTGCAAAGGAACAAGTTAAGGATTAGGGTGGTGAACACCCGTAGAACAGTGTATTTTCTTTCTCTTTTCAGCATGGAATAAACCTTTACTTGTTCCTTTGCAGCCTATGCATGCTGACACAGCAACCTACTTGAAATATTACCATTATGTTGTCAGGAAGCAATACTGAGTTAAAGTTAAAGAAAAATCTAAAACTAAAAGGTCATACTGTATGGTTACGGAAATACCTTGATTTAAAATAAGACTTATCCTAGTGTTTCTTCTGGTATTAATTTATTTGTCAGTGACATTTGGGGTGATGTTTTTGGTAAAACATAAAACAGGACTTCCCTATCCCTGCCATGATACCTATACCAGTGTGTCTGTTGGTTTTTGTAACAGATCAGTATTTGATCATTTAGCTGAGCACCAGTTTTAACTAACAATTTACTATTTATACTATACACATTTAATTATTTTTAGCTCTGCAGCCGTATATAATTGTTAAATTTGCTCAAAAATGCATATGTAACCTTATATCTATATTGTCTTAACAGCAGACTACGCAAATAAACCATTTTATTAGTTCAGTTAATGTTGAATTAAACAACAGAAACTTTCACTTCTAGAGTGAAAAACAGCTGACACTTGAATCACCAGGATTAGAACTAGGATATCTTCACAGAGAGCAATGCTTGATACAAACAATGGAAAACCACTGAAAAGCTTAAACAAAACATGCTATTAGGTATGTAGTTGTTTGTGACTTTCAAAGTATTAACTTTTTTCCCAAGGAAATTGTCCAGTAGTAAATATTTTTGAGAAATGCTTCATTGTTGTTTTTTAGCCATTCATGTTGACAAAGTGTTATTGTTATATAAGTTTCTAAACAATGCAAAGCTTGAAAGCGTAAACCCCACCCTTCATTGGGATGAAAATTAAATTCACAATCAGCAATTCTCGAAGTTTCTTGTTTGGTTACTGGAAGGTGTCGCTTTTTTGGATGTGGTGCCATCTAGTGGATGAAATTAAAGCTATATGTACTGCAGTTTACATAATTTTGTTTTCAATAAATGTATCTTGTAATAAAAATAATAATAAAAAAACTTTATTTTATATAGCGCCTTTAAAGGTGGCTTCTCAAAGCACTTTACTGGATGACAACAAACAATAAAAAGAAGAATACACAAGATAAAACACAATTACAATATATAGAGGAGACCGTGGATGGTGGTACTAAGAAGACCAGAGGGGTGAAAAATGGAACCAGTTAAGTAAAGGCTTTTCTGAAGCAGAGGGTTTTGAGTCTGGATTTGAGGAGTTTAGAGAAGGTAACTTTCTGATATCCTTGGGGAGAGAGTTCAAGAGCTTGGGGGCATAACAGGAGAAGGCCCTGTCACCCATACAATGTAGACGGGCTTGGGGGACAGTAAGGAGAGCAGAATTAGAAGAGGTGGGGAGTAGGGCGATAATAGTTCAGACAGGTACTGAGGTGCCAAGCCATGCAGAGCCTTAGATCTTGTTATGTTATGGCAGTTAAAGTACTGTATTAGCTTAATGTGCCGCCTTCAGATTTATTACAAAAAATTGGAGAAATTGGTTTAATCAAATGTCTTTTAATTATGGACACTACCATTTTCTTAATGGTTTTGAGCACGTACCAGAATGACACTATGCATATTTCTGGACTATACAGTAGCACCTCACTCCAGTACAAACCACCACACAAAGCTTTCACCTAACTATGAGATTTCAACTGGTTACTGGGATATACTGATGTTGTAAAATTGTAATCAGGGACCTCAGGTCCTCATTATCTCAATCATGAGTCAAACACCTTGATGATTTTTGTTTTAATATGCCTTGGTATTTAATCTTGTACTTTACTTTGTTTAACAAGGATCTGATGGGTATTTGTTGCTGGTGCTTAGTGGGGCAGTTGTGCTGATTGGGTGCTTCTGCTAATGCTTTTTCCATGTTTCATCAATACAACAGAGTAGTGGTTAATGTCCTGGACATCTGGTTGGAAGGTTGTTGGTTTAAATTCAGAATTTAACCTTTTTGGTGGGATTCTGACTTGGAAGCATTTGGTCATAATACCACAGAAGGTAATGTTGCACCATTGGCCCCTTAGCCCAGCACAGACATCAAATACTTCTGGATCCTCTTGTCATGAGTTGGATTGCTAGTGAGACAAAACATTATCAACGAGGTGAAATTAACATATCTCACAATGGTTTAAGCCTTGCTCACACTTGCTGTCAGTGGGTGAATTGGTGCTGGAAGCTGAAACAGTCGACACTGCTGTCATAAAATTGAGCATGAAATCCCACATGCCAGTTCCAGGCCTTTTCACCACAAATTGTTTAGTTACCCCAACCTTCTGTCTTGTCCTACTCTTTCTATATAGAAAAATAAATAGCAAGGAAGATGCCATTAATTAAGGGAGATATACTGTATAAGGGTGATTGAATATTGTGAATCTGCAAGCTAGTTGAAAGCATTACTTTCTGCTAAAACGAATTAATAATTAGCGCACTGTCATTAATATACTCTGGCACTTTGGGTCAAATTTGCTTTAATATTGCCAATTGTGAGACTTGCATTGGTATTTACACATAAAGCTCTATATTAATTTACAATAAATTGCTTTACACTGTATGCTCTCTTCAGTATATATCTAGGACCATGCCAAACGTTCATTTTTAAGGAAACATTCTGCGCACCACTGATTTGAGTACTCTGATTAGTTCTGCACTCACCATGAATGCATGTTTGCATAGAAACGTTTATTTTTTAGTTAAAAACTTGAAACATTTATACTCATATGTACAACGTTATCTTTTTCGTTTACTCATGGTTTGGTTTGAGGCGTGTTTCTGCGTCTACATTGAACTACTAGACATGATATATAATTGTATTGCATGTGTATTTGTCCTTTGAATACTACTGACAATAATATAAGAAACAACATTTTCAAAAAATGGCAATTATTCTAATAATTAAAATACTTATAATAGTCATACTTAAAAAAAGTAAATTACCGTTTAAATCAGGGTATTTGAATTGTTCTCAATGTCTTTGAAAAGATTCCACTCACTAGAATTGGGGTAGTTAGGACTACTCCAATTTCTGTATCAACAGCAATTTTCAGGTTGTTTCATGATGATCTGTTCAAGGCTATGAGTTATAAGTTTGTTTTCAGAACTGTCTCCACAAAGTTCTATCACGTACGCCCCTTGATAAGTAAAGAATATACGTAAAATATTGCTTTTGACAATTATTTTTAAAGTTTTTTTTGTAAAGCCCAACAATGGCTAGATTAGAGTACCGTGCTACTAACTACGGGTCGCTTACTCAAACAAGCTTCACGCTACTCCAGATTAGAGCGCTGCAAAAATACCCCGGATATCCTTGCTGTATACCCGGAAGTAGTTGTTTGTGACTTTCAATTTGTTCCTGAGTGATTAACAGTCGTGGTTTTTAAGGATACATTGATTTACATCGTAGTATGGTATAATAAATCGTCCCTTTTTTTTCTGGCTTTTGGAATTTATTGTTAGAACCTCATTCATTCATGAATTTCAGTATGTGCATAAAAGGTTAAAGTATAAAGCCAAATCATCCGTAGACCACTCTGCATTTTCATGTTATGGGCAAGAACAGGAGGCTAAGCTGTTGGAGGTTCAGTAATGTCAGACTGAAATTTCGTATCCTGCAGCAAGTTTATGTAACATAGTACCAGGTGAGTACAGTTGGTCTCTAATGTAAAATTGCAAATTGTCTTTTATTGTCTGTCGGTTTTCAAACAGGCCTGTCTTATATTAATTCTAATGTGACGGTTGAAGCATCCGTAAGACGACGTGAATTATTATGTAGTGTTGTATTTTGTTTTATTTATATAGTAAATGGTTATGTACGAATTTTATCAATGGATCAGTGCAATCAGCACATTGGATTTACTGGGTATAGCTGCGTCCAGAAAAATACATTGCTGTCCTATTACACTGCTCATTATAATCGCTTTATAGTTCTCTTTTACCTTTTTCTATTAAAACATTAAAAAAAAGTTTATAGCGCAAGAATAACGAAAATCATCGTTTATGCAAAACGGTAGTGTTTCTAGGTGCAAGGTACTGTCACGAACAGCTGTCAGCAGCATAGGCACTTTAGTTTTCAGAAGCCGGCAGCTTCCATTTGCACCCGGAGAAAAGTAGATATTGGCTGTATGTTATTCTTTAAGATATTCTATAAAGATATGTTTTCTTAACAGCAGTAAATATGCCTGGAAAGCTAAAGGTCAGGATTGTTGCTGGACGGCATTTGCCTGTCATGGACAGGGCCAGTGACCTGACAGATGCTTTTGTAGAGGTTGGTATAAAAGCTGCTAAAAATTGGTTGTACATTTATTTGTATTTGTATGTTTGTGTATATTTGTATGTAGGTTGCAAATAGAATTTCATTTTGTTATCCTTGTGTGTTCATATATTTTTGTGTACATACAGTATAGTAGCTTGTTGGCTCTGAAAAGATTAATGTTTCTGAATACTTACTTTATATAGAGCCCAAACTAAGAAACTTTAAAATGTTAGAAGATTATAAATAATTAGATAAATGGAGTACACTCATCCCTTATTATTCGAGCGCTTTACTTACAAGTACTCGCTAAAAAGAGCGGTACATCTACAGATTTGTTTTTTGTTGTTTTTGTTAACTTTATTAAATTAGTGAGGGAGTTAACTTCCCTCACTAATACGAGTTCCAAGCATGTTGATTCGTTCGTCCATTTGATTTTTTTTCTCCCCTTGGCTGTTGTGATCTTAGTAGAAATTATGCTGTAGAATAATATTTTGAATCCATAATTTGTAAAGATAAAATTGTTTCACAAATATTAAATGAAACATTTATTTTGAGTATGCACACTCTAATACATATTTTTCTTATCTCAGACAGCTGCTCTTTTACAGTTATGGGTTTTATTCCATGACTGCACAAGGTGTATTAACTAAGATACTAACATAATAAACAGTAATAAACTAGAGCTCATGCCAATTTTATTTCTCCACATAACTGCTTTATATTACTTTAAAAATTGTGTTAATTAATGTTACTTCTTGTGACATAGATTCCTAAGTATATAGTGCAAAACTGTTTTGATACATAATATAAATACCTAAACTCAACTTAATTATGTCCAATTTCAAGCACTTGGAACAAATCATGTATTGAAATTTAGCGTAGGTTTTACTGAAATTTTGCTTGTGTTTTGCAGGATGAGTCTACTATTTATTTTGGTATAAATTCTTTGTGTCTTCCAGGTGAAATTTGGAAACACAACATTCAAAACTGATGTTTATCCAAAATCTCTCAACCCACAGTGGAACTCAGAATGGTTTAAGTTTGAGGTAAATTTGATTAAAAACAAATTGTGTGTAAGAGACAGTAGAATTAAAGTTTTTGGCCTGTGATTAACCCCATTTTTTATTTTTACCTATGAAATTTATTATTTGTATTTTCACAGAACGGATTGGAAAAGGGAACATAAGCATTAAGCCAATGAAATATGGGGGAAGCATCTGAGAGGGATTTACAAACAATGATTATGATGTTGATAATAAGTAATATGTGATAATTCCTTTATTGAAATTCAGGTTGATGATGAAGACTTGCAGGATGAGCCCTTGCAGATCACAGTTTTGGACCATGATACCTATAGTGCTAACGATGCTATAGGGAAAGTCTATATAGACATTGACCCTCTGTTATCCAGTGAAGCGGCGACTGTTATTTCTGGCTGGTTCCCTATTTATGACACTATACATGGTAAGTTAATTTTTTAGCTAAAATAAAAGCTGAATTAAGTATACAAAAAGGAGGACGCACAATTATTGTCTTATTTTAGTGAAGGTTTAAGAAAATGCAGTTGCTTTTGTCTGTGAATGCTCGCGTGCATGAAGTCCTTGGACTTCATGGCTTGGTTTTTACTCCGCCATGCACTGTGAACTGTGGGACCTTATAAAGACAGGTGTGTGCCTTTCTAAGTCATGTCAAGTCAAGTGAATTCACCAAAGGTGGACTACAAATGTGTTCTAGAGACATCTCAAAGGTGATCAAAAGAAATAGGATGCATCTGAGCTCAATTTGGAGTGTCACAGTAAAGGGTCTGAATACTTATGTAAATTGGAGATGTCAGTTTTTTATTTTTAATAAATTTGCAAAAATTCCTAAAAATGTGTTTTCACTTTGTCATTATGGGGTGTCGCTTGTTGATTGATGGCAAAAACGAATCAATTCAATCCATTTTGAAATAAGTCTACAACACAATGAAGTGTGGAAAAAGTGGAGGGGTCTAAATACTTTCTGAAAGCACTGTATACCTTTCCATGCCATGCAGTGATTGTATTAAGACAGTAATTGCATTAAGTAATTACATTGCATTTACATTAAGACTGCTGGAAGCATCAGAATTATTGTGCAAACTGCCTTTGAGACATTGGAAAATAATTATTATAGCATAACAAGATATGACCTCACCTAAGTTGATGATATTACCCATGTGATTTTCATTTCTTACCATTTATATAGTTGGATCTTTTTTGGAAACAATCTGAGTGAAGCACCTTTCTCAAGGGTGCCACTTGGGAAGTAAACCCACCATCTTCCTGTTATGACCCCAGAGCCCTAACCACTGCTTAGCTTGAATCAGCATAAAAACTCAGTGACACCTGTATCTTCCCATTACAGCATGTTTTGCATGACCCTGGGTCCTTTGTCAGCTATTTTGAACAGAATAAACTTTTTTAAAAAGGTGTATATTTTTAATAAAAGTCACCCCCTCTAAAACAGATACATACAAGTACATGGGAGCAAATTCTCTATTCTGACAATGCTTAATTAAATACCTTGTTTATACCTTGCGGATTCAATAATATTTGAATTTTCTAAAAGAACACTGCAATTGCTCTTATAATTGTGTTCCAATACCCTATGCAGAATTTAGTTCCAAGTCAGATTAGAACAAGAATCTCTCCAATGTCCCAATATTTGGAGGAGGAGAAAGGTGGTGGGTTGATGGAGGAGGATGGATTTCCTTTTTCTCTTCTTGTTCTCTCCTTCATCTCTTTTGTCTTTCCCTTCTCTCTTTGTGTCCTTTTGTCCTGTCCTGTATCTATGGGCCATTCCTGGCTTAACCTCCCTAAGAATGCCAAGTCATCATTGAATGTTTACAAGCGGCCATCTCAATGATTTACCATGAAGTTAATTAACCAGAATAGCAACAGCCTTTGATCATCTCTGTCTTTCCCTATTGTTTACTTGCCTCTTAGTTCCAGGACAGCTACTAGATTCTGTCAAACAATGCACTTTGTTCAAAGCTTGAAATTTCTGAATAGGGCAGTCTAGGTGGGAAATTGGGAAATGTTGCTAACTTAATCTCCAACCCAGCCAGCTCCCACTGTACTAAATACTATAATGTTATGTAGCAGTTCTTATGCACGTATATAAAAATTAAAGGTTATGTCCCAGACCTTGTGGCATTTTTCATAAACCTATACTCTTTTATTTGCAAAAAATGGGTATCTATTATCATCAATAAACCAAGATCTAATAAAAAATGGCAAGTAGCTTTTTGTAAAGTTTTCTTGTAAATGTGGATGTAAACTCTTTTTAAATCAGTCATTTATGATTAGCACAGTGAACATCATTGTATTACAGTGTAAACATTATATAATTCTGCATCTGTACCTCCTAGGCAGGTAGCTTTACTTAGTATGTCTTATTCAGATAGTTGTCAAGTTCTGACACTCAACTGTAATGTTACTTCCCTTACTAGAAATATGAACACACACTGCCAATAAGCCTTTGACCAGAACTTTTTTAAAGCTGGTAAATTTATAAAAAATGTATCAAAAAGTTTGAAAATGTAGTCAAACAAGCTCCTTGCTGAAAATGTCACCAGGAAGAGAAGACATGTGGTAAACACTTAGTGAGCCTTTTCATTTCTTAGTACTGGTGCTCTTTATTCCAGAAATGGGCAACTCTAGCCCTCAGGGGGCACCAAGTTCTTTTCAGTGTAATTGATGGAAAATATGTGGTAATGTAGTTAGTTATTCTGTTTGTTATATTTTAATCTATTACTAAGGGAAGTATATATGTACAATTTACAGCAGTCTTGGAGTTTACTAGACTATTTTATAATCCTAATTATTCACTGGAAAACAAACTTAAGACCCAATTTTTGGACTGTAAAATGTAATATTTCTAGATGTTACAATTTCAACAATTAAGGCTTCAACCAAGATTCATTCAATTTGATTTTCATAGTTCATGTCTGTCAATAGAGAAATGTTAGGTATGATGTGTAAACTTACACTTCATTTCAAAACACATGGAGACCGTTGTTGATGTCAGCTTTATTCTAGATTAAGTGCAAGATGTTAAATGAACTGATTTTTGCTATTGAACGTTTGAACTACCATTTATGTTTTTCCTTGCATGAAAATATGCCCCTATAACCTGCTACTGTTTTTTTCTATTCCAGGCATACGAGGAGAGATTAATGTGGTTGTGAAGGTGGACCTATTCAATGATTTGAACCGTTTCAGACAGTCTTCATGTGGAGTCAAATTCTTTTGCAGTAAGATGTTTGTTACACTTTTGAAACATGCTTGAATTGTGTAAACATATCAGTTTGAATAATTTATAGTATTTAAAAAAGAAGAGTGCTGGATTGATTTGCTAGGACTAACCTAATTTGGAAGTGTCCTATCTGAAAAGCAATTGTATCTCTTCGTTATGAGAAACACAGTATCTTGCAAAAATATTCTTTATAAGTTGCTTTTGTATTTCGTTGGTCTAAAGGAAGGGTTTTGTTTTGGACAAATTGGTGAAATGGAGCTTAGTAGTTTATCTAAAAGATCTGCCGTGTTTGTTCTTGCTTGATGTCATTCCTCTTTTATTTGTACGCACCACAACTATTAGTCAAATTAAAATAGTTTTGGTTGTTGTGTTAGTGTTATTTCTTAATGAACACTTACTGGTTTGAAATTGTTGCATTGTTAAAACTGTTTCTCTTTCTTTTCAGCTACTTCCATCCCTAGGTGTTACAGGGCAGTTGTAGTCCATGGCTTTGTAGAAGAACTGGTGGTAAATGAAGACCCAGAGTACCAATGGATAGATAGAATCCGAACCCCCAGGGCCTCCAATGAAGCTCGGCAGAGGCTGATCTCGCTGATGTCTGGTACAATATTAATTTCCACCTGACCAAAATCTAAATCTTTGTCTTAAACAGCACTATGTATTTGCATGGTACATTTTTACGTATTGTTTATGTTGTAGGTATTAAGTAAAGGAGCAGTAAAGAGGTTTTGTTTTCCTCAAAAACAGTAAAGTCAATCTTCATACATATCTGCTTTCAGTCTCTACTTTTCTGAAAAATATTTAGCTTATCAAGTTCATTTTTAGCTGATGTCCCACAATACTTCCCAGGTGAGCTTCAGAGGAAGATTGGTTTAAAGGTTCTGGAAATGGGAGGCAATGCGGTTGTGGGCTACCTGCAATGTTTTGACCTGGAGGGAGAGTCTGGGCTGGTGGTACGAGCCATTGGAACCGCCTGCACTCTGGATAAAATAAGTAACCCCTCTGCAGCTAACCTACCTGCATGCAATTCCCCGTCCAAAGAAATCAAAGAGTAAGTATAAAATATAAGGGGTTTATACTCCTGCATGAAGCTAAGTACTGTGTTTGATGGATCTGTGTTCATTTCCTGTATTGCATTGAGAATTGCAATAATTATAGGTTAACATTTCTTTTATTTCAAGATCCCACATTCATAATTTTATGAAGAGGAAGTCTCAGTATAATAACTTGTGAAATTTACATGGTATTCATCTTCCAAACATTGAGTAGAATGAAGTATGTGTGCCGCATAAAGGAATGGGTGTTATAAATTTCATTCATGGGCAAAGTTAGGCAAATGTATGTGAAAAAAAGATAGATTTGAAGGAAATCTACCCATTAAGTTTAATAAAGAATAGAAAAAAAGGAAATTAAAAATCTTGTGAATTGCCGTGTTTGAAGAAGAAGTTGTATCAAAATCTTAAAATAGCATGATAAAGTATGATTTTAAGACACCCAGATTCCTGCTTCCTCTGATAAAATGTGCTGCATCCTGAGAATATAACATTTTTGTTTCTCCACACGTACAAACCTTCCCCTAACTTACCGTTCCTGGCACTTGGCACTGTCTTCCATGGTTAATTTACGCTTGTGCACCTGCATGTTGAGCTTCCTATCAGTTATGTAACTTGAATCTTAGCGCACATACTGTACATTGTTTGGCGAGTAAATCATTTAAAATTTCAAATTTCAAATTTCAAAATTTCAGATAAACATGATATTTAGCCATTGATTGACTGCACAAGTGAAACATATAAGATCGGGGCTCTCTAAGACCACAGTTGAAGACTATGCTGAATATGCCACATTTCACGGTCAAGTGGCTTGGGATTCTGCCACCACTGCTTTAGCCAGCAGCTGCTTGTGATAAGTGATGATATTCAGGGCTGTTTTGCCAGCATAGAGTGGTCTGCCCCAACTACCACACCTCACTGTTTGAACATATAAATCTAAAAAATGTCTTTGGTAATACTTTTTAGCATGGCATTCTCTATAACTATGCATTGTTACAAAGTATATGTGACAAATTATATTAAAGAGCCCATAGCATTGTGTTCCTATTTAAATAGACTATTAATTGCAAGTTATTTGTGTGCCTTCCTTTCTATATAACTGTTCATATTTTAGTCCTATTGGGTTTGGATGTGTGCCGTCCACTGTATTTAATTAATTTAATCCAGATATTCTATATATCTCAACTGAAGTTAAACTGCAGTTGTTTTACATTTGTAGTACATGAGGTCAGTTTAGGTTCACTTGTTTTTGTCCAGCTTTCATTGAATTTAATTCACATAGCTGAACGGAATACATGTTTTTGTAGTACAGTGAAGATAAATTATGTACTTACTGAATTTTTCATTATATATATCAGTGATTTTTTTTAACGCCACATCTTAGCAGCTGTGCTGTATGCAGGTAACTGTAAACAGCACTGTTGTGATATTTTCAAGTACACATACAACCTTAGCATCATTCAACACAAGAAAACCTACCTAACTCACTGATATTTTATCATTTTTAACTACACAGTACTTTTATGGTGGCTTTTGAAACTCAGTATGAATTATTTGGCTACCAACTCAGCTATTTAAACATTTAAACTGGTTATCCAAAGACCTAGATTAAAAACTAAATCAAAGAGAAGCTTCTCATGCTTCAGACTTGCTGTTGTAGACCATGCATGTTGCTTATTTTGCTTTTGTCTTCTGCTATTCATAAACTAATTACAGATTATAGCAGAAAATAGCAGCTACTTTTGACTTGCAGCTTCCTGGAGGAGTAATATTTTATGTGGGGGGAGGGAAAACACTTTTTTGCTGCAATCTGTTGTCTGTGTTGTTTTTCTTTTCTTTCTTTCTTCTTTGGCTGCCAATTGTCTCAGGTCTCCACTGGCTCACCCATCCAGCCACGGATGTCGCTCGACCCACAACAGCCCAATTCACACTGCTACCGGCTCACGACTAACTCAGAACTTCTCTGTGTCTGTTCCTACTCTCATCTACACTGGTATGAGACTGCATAGCTTGGAAGCTGGGGAGACAGGCCTCGAGCACAGGGCTCAGATTCTAAGGTCAGGCAGGCAGTGTAGGCAGGTACCACGTGTCTGTGCTCCCTACCAGCTGGGGAGAGTGTCGAAAATCAACAGGTTGAAACCCTTCAGCTTCCAAGGCATTCTGATCCTGATCAAAGCCTAATCATGGCAGGTCATACATAATCTGTATTTGTTTTTTCTTTTGTTTCTTCACTTTATGTTCATTTAATTTTTTTCAGATACATGATCAAAGCAATTGCATCAAAACATTTTTCTCCCATCTACAATCTTTATAATTTGCTATTTTGTTTTAGCTGCAAAGTATTATTTTTTTTACAGATTGACAGAATTCAAGACAGAGGAATCATATAAAGATCCTACCTGTTGTTTTTTATTTGCTTTGGTTAGCTTAAAAAAAAGCTTGTTTTGATTTTTGTGTGATTATTTGTTTTGTTTTTTATTTATTGCAGTTCTATTTCTGTGTATATTTGTACGTATTTACATATCCTTGCTTTGTTTTCTGAAATACACCTGACTCTCAGCCATTGTCCCTGATCCAGAATTAGAAATAGCCGAGCAGCCATCTTCGGCCTCCTCCCCAGCCTGCACACGCACAGCTGTCGGATTCCCCTGCTCCACTCCACCTCTGCCACCAAAACGGGTCATTCCAAACTTGCTGGCGTCTGTCAGCACAGGGTTACTGAATGTGTTTCCACCTTCTTCTGGCAGGGTTCCCTTCAGTGAAGATCCCAACCCTAATACTCATTCATCTGGACCCTCCACCCCACTGAAAAACCAAACCTATTCCTTTTCACCTTCCAAGTCCTACAGCCGACAGTCCTCCTCTTCTGACACAGATTTGAGTTTGACACCTAAAACTGGTAAGGCTCCTTCACCCACTTTGTTTTATTTTAGTTTTCCTTACTTTTTTTTCTTTCTCCTTCCCACATTGTTTGCTGTTGATTTTTATTTTGCACTGCACCTGTCCTTGATGCCATATTCCATTTAATGCACCACTGATTTTTGGCATTGTTATGATTTTTCAGAAGTTTAATGTTACCTCTACGAAAAGGTAAAATTAAAACTTATGCGCACCAGAAATGTATACATAAATTTTCAATCCAAAAACATTTTAATTCTTACCTCTATTTTAAAAAAAATCAGTATATTTCAGAGAAATATATATTCTCTGGATAGCATATCAAAATCTGCATAGTCATTTTAATCCATCTACAGTATATGCAAATACATATAACACATAATATAAAAGGCTTTAACAGTAAAATGTCATATAAATTCCAGTATTCTATTGTTTGCCCGTTAAGTTGTGTTTGCAGTGGACTATCAAGTGCTTGCGAGGTTTTAAGAGGTGGATAAACAATTAATTTTTAATAATATAAAATTATCTTAGGAGGTTCCTTCCTATCCTTATAAGCGTCTGCTTCTGAAAACATTTCCATCATTTATTCTGCTTGAATTTACGAACCTTCTAAATTGCACAATTGACCTTTGTTACGATTGCCAGGTGATGATGATTGAAGTATTTTATTAAATGCAGGATTTTTGTAAACTTAATTGTTACATGCAGTGAACTGTATAATGAGAAGTGTGCAATCTAGAGGAATGGAATGGGGACCATATCCAAATGGGTCTATGGAGAACAAATTACAATGAACGATGGGGTGAAAACACACGGGAGGAATACAGATTTTTTATTTAAAGTCCTAGGAATGCAGCGCCACCTCTCAGGTGAAGCTGATGCCTGTCCTGTTGTGTGTATTACCATTTTTCAAAGGATTGTGTCCCCTGTGGTCCCATTTGTATGTGTACCCAATTTCGTTGTGCCACTCTTCCCTGTTGTAGCATATAACAACTAAGCTCATAAGCACCCTCTATATTTCTTCTTTAGTTTAGGCTTTGACAGGGGACTTAGGAAATGTGAAATGATCAAAATTCGTAACAAAAATTTAATTCTAAACAAAAATCGCAGAAAACTTACGTCTAGGCTTCTAAATGCAGAATTTGATGTGAAATAAGCTGTGAAATCCACTTCTTAAAAGTTTTGATTAGTGCATCAGCTACCAAAGACACAATTGTTGAACACATCTATTCCTTGCTTGTCTGTAAGATTGTAGAAACGATTGTTACAGCAATAGTTAAAGAGTTTGCAGCATAGCATTAGTTATGGTAATAGAAACCAAACAACATTGTCCTAAATCAGTTTGTCAGTAATCATTAGAAATTAACTGTGTAAATATTTTTTATTGAAATGGCTAGTTAGTAGCTCTTGACAACTATTTGTAAACCCATGAACATATGAGCTAACTGTATCCTGAAAAGTTGTAGAATTTAGAATTTCCTGTAAGGTAATATAATGTCTAATATAAGGGACTAGAATATCTTGTTTTTTAGCAAACGTTTTAACACTTTTTGGATCATTTGGAAAAATGTTCATTTCGTTTGTGGGAGGTTTCCCAGTAACTCATCCAGTAAATACCTCCATAAAAATGTGTTTTCTAGCTTGGGTTAGGTTAGGCTAGACTAGAGGGCTAGTTCAGATTTAGGCTTTGCCATTTTCTAACTGATTTGGAAATGCCTAGCAGCAGCAACATAACATTGGCTGAGCAGTGATTGATTCAATGATGAGTCTTCAGGATCAGCACTGCGTGCCTTTTTGTGTCTTTTGCTCTTGTGTCTTTCAGCTGCATGATTTTTACCTGGTTTTGCTTGAGCCTTTCTGTTTTGTGGCCATTATGTAGTCTTCCTTTTAACAGTCGCTGTACTGAGCCTTGACCATACTGTCCTTCCAGTTTGTCTGTCATACCCATTATCTTGTGTCTCCTCATCTCTGTTCTCTACCACTTTTTTCCTCCCACAGCATCCCCCATGGGGCCTAGGATTTTCCTGTGCCCTAGCTCCCCTGCTCTTTCTTCTGATTTCCCACCTCATACAAACACTATCCAACTTCCCCTGGGGTCTGGGACAACACACAGTTTTACTCTTCCACACTCTGGCCATTCAAACCCAGTTGTGCTGAGAAAAACTGTCTCTTTCAGTGAGGAGTTGCTTCTGGCTGTCTCCGGTAGGACCAAACAATTTATAAGAGATGTAGCTGTACACAGATTCACTCCCCTCTCCTAAGATATAATACTGTAGTTTATTTCACCTTTTTACATTAATTGATTTCACTCTGAGTGCTGTCTTTTTTCTAATTTGTTTAAAGAACTAACAACTTATTTTTGGATGTTCACAAACACTAGATTTTTGTTTTTTTCAGAAATCAGTCAGTACATGGTGTGCAAGTGTGTTGATCATGTCAAAATCCTATGGTAGCAATTGACTTTACTTTCTCATGCACGTTCATTTTTACCTGTATTTTTTCTGTATGGTATGTACAGTTATTAGAAATCATAATTGTTTTGCAGAAATTTGGATTTATAGAACATCCCTCAGTTTTTGCCACAGGGGCATGTGAACTCTCGATTACGTTCCTGAGTTTTCCCCCACGTTGTGTATTTTAAAAATTAAGCCTGGTTTGGTTTCTAATTTTTTTACTTGCTGGAATGTTGATGGATCATTTGGTTACTAAGGAAGGATTTTTCAATGTATTGAATGGTTCTAACTAAAGTTTACTTCAAAATCTTTTAATTCAAGTGTACTTTACAGCATTCATAAGATACTCCAGTTGCCTCATATGATCCACGTTTTGCTGAAAACAATCATTTTAAATAGTGCCGAGAGATGCATTTAGATATTAAAAACTTTCATAAATTTATCTGAACGTAAAAAAAAATGTCGGTGCTCATTAGAATTTGCATTTACGGAAGAAGTTCCCATAGCAAACTGTGTGGGTATACTGGATAATATTAAGCCAGCTTGCCCGAGTGGTTTGCTTTAAAGAGCCCTTGCGGATTGCTCCCACTCCCTAACATTGTTTTTGAGTGAACATTCAAATGTAAAATCGAGGATGTCATACTGTCATGTCTCTCATGATCCAAAACGGTATTATTTGAAGAACATAATAAAAGCACAACTGTTAAGATAAAAGAGAAATCCAAAGAGAAAGAACAGTGGAGGTCACTTATGGCTTTTCTTTTAGCTTCTTGACAGGTTTCCAGAATTTCTCACATGTAATTTTAAAATGCCATTATTTTGGTGAACCTGGAAGTCTTGATTCAGCTCTGTCCATTTTATATTTTATATGAGTTGAGGCCGACTGGAGCATACTTGAATTATTTGTCTATAGAAACACTTGATTTGAGGATGTATTTTGTACCTGTTTACCTTAACAGTGGCCATAACATGGTCCTGTGGATGTGGAATATGTATGTTAGACTTAAGAGCTTACTTTAATGACTTACCTTTCATTAATAAAACCCTTATTGTGGTCATGCTGTTTTCTGTCAATAGCTTACAGCTCTTATCCTGGAAATGCCTTGTTGTAAGCTATTCTTAACATGTAGTCCTACTGAAACTTGCACCACAAAAAAATACTCAAAAGTTCTAAATGCTGAAAATATTTATTGAATTGTGAAAGCTGGAAGTAAAAACCAAGCCAAAGCCTCTGTACTTTAAAAATGTTTTTCTGTCATCAGTTTGAACGAATTCAAGTTAAAATAGTTTGGAAATCAACAGACTGAATCAACCATCATGTTCATATTATTATATGCTTTACTAATGCTTAGTTAGCTTTTAGGTGTTTTTTGATGCCATTCAACATGAATATCATGAAATACTTTTTCTCACATACATAGATTATTGTTTGCTGCTGAAATCGTTTTATTAGAGAAGAGACCCTTTTCTGTAATGTTGACTCTGAGCTGTTAAGTACATTTTGTAGAGGCTGTCTCTCCCATATTTAACTTATAGTTGTAAATAACAATAGTGTTTAGTATAAACACAATAAAGCATGTGGTAAATCAAATAAGCAAAGACATGTGGGAGGATTTTAATTATTTTCTTATCTAGATGTTTTAGAGCAGCATTTTGATAAAAAGAAATCTGCGATTATCTTATTCACTCTGGAATGTTCACATAATGAAGATTTAAGGTTTTAAGAACTAGTCTTGTCTTGATTTTATTAAAGACAAAAGTAAACTTTGTTATTGGGGGGGTGATGTGGTTTTTTATGTTTCTTGCCTTCTACCTTGTAGGAATGGGCAGTGGTGGCAGTGCAGGGAAGGACGGACCACTAAAAACTCTACTGAGACAACAGACACAGTCAGCACTCGAGCAGAGGGTAAGGCTGTTTTAAAGCCTGCGTGAACTCAATTTTAAAAGATACGCATTATTTCATATCATTATTCTATGCGTTATTCAAATATTATGTACACATAGATTAAGCAGCGTTCTTTAAACATTTTAGAATTTTAATTTGTTGCTAAACCTATAAAGCTCATCTTTTACTTAAATAACTATGCTTTAAAAGTTGATTAAAAATAATATTAACTTTCCTTCATGAAATAGTATTAAAATAATAAAGAGGGATTTCAGGATGTTGGAGAGTATGAATGCAAGAGAGAATGAATTTGTTATCTTTGTATAGAGAAATGGGTTCAAGCTTGGCCACATTCACAAGAGAAAATATACATCTTTTACCTTAAATCCTATTACTTCCATTATAAGGAGGTCTTCTATCCAGGTACTGACCAGGCTCACACTTGTTTAGCTTCAGTGGGTTGTCAGTTGTGAGTTGCAGGCTCTGGCATGTTCATCCGTTTCTATTGACTATGTCATGGATTCAGTGAGCCCATCTGTGGGATCCAGGGCCTTGCAATTCACCTCTGTGTCCCTTTTGTGACCCTCTGTCACTGTTACTTCTTGTTTCTTGCCCTCATGCTTGCCGCAGCTTGGGTATTCCTGTTTTCCCCAAGACATACTGACTGCATTTCACCTCAAAAGGAACATTAGGCTATTACCATGACTGGTCCTTTTAAAAGAAATAAAGTTATTTTTCTTCCAAGTCATTTCACATTTGGCCTGGGAGGGATACTTATTTGGCAAAGAACAATTTTGAGCTCTCCGGCTTGTAGGAGAAGAGGGTGAGTTGGGTGACACTGCAAAGTTCAATTGGGTGACTTTGATATACAGTATGTACTTGACGGAGGCAAGGGCACTTTCATAAGAGGTAAGGATTGCATTTATTTTCAGGGAGCAAGGATTATGGTAATAATCTGTTTTGAGTCATGATGTTAAAGAAAAAGAGATGGACTTATGCCTTCTTTCTTACCAAAAACTCAAACACACATTGAAACCTACCTCTTCCTCACATAGAAGCTCACTCCTCATAATCTTCTATCCTTTATTTCCTTCTGTTGATTTATGATTTTTGCACATCTGATGTTGTTTTGCACATTACCTGTTACCTGTTGTTGTTTTGAACACTGCTTGTTTTCTCTGTCTTTCTTTTCTTATACAATTGTGTTGTTGTTTTTTGTGCTACTTATCGTCTGGGAGCTAGCTAAATAGCATTTCATTATACCATATACCTGTATATGAGTATAATGACAATAATCTTGAACTTGAACTTGAATTGGGCTGATTTAGGCTTGAAATTCCTGCACCCTGTAGTCCAGAATAAACTAAAGGATGTAGATTTTGAAGTTTATAGCAGGATTATTAGGTTTCACTCAACTCTGTTATTAAAGGCGGCAAAGGCATGCCAAAAAATTGGTTATTTAAGAGGTTACCATTATAATGGGGGTATAAGACTGGAGTTTTATGATTGTGTAATTAAGGTTTTGTGAAAATCTGCAAAGCTGAGTTTTGTGTTTACTCTTCACTTAAGTAGAATCACCAGCAAATTGAACATTACAGTAATCAATTCTGCTAGAAATAAAAGCATTACCATCTTCAGACATGAGCTCAAATATTGCTTGAGCAATATTATTTAAATGATATAAACACAACATTCCAACAGTGTGAAGTAAAGTTTGAATCTTGAGACTATCACAGTGCATGCGTGGTCAACAAGAGTATGATATAATTATTTTATATGGATTTTCAATTCCAAATCAATAACCTGTTCTGCTTTACCTTCATATTTTTTATTGTACAGTATATGTATTATCAAGGTAACAGGAAATGCATTTGGACTTGTGTGTCAAAGTTCCTCCCTTTCTGGAAGAATGGCATTTTCTCATTTCTCATCTAACTAAAAAGGAAAACAATGGATGTTAGTCAAAATATCTTGTTTGATAACATGAATGCATTGCATTTGCAAATTCGAGTTTTATTCTAATTGTAGTAGACATAAAGCATGTTATGCCTTTAATCTATTTAATTTGTTTGTTAAGTGAATTCACCTGAAAAAATGCTTGGTTCTCTTTTTATTCTAACTTGTCTTTGTATTTTCTGAAGGAATTCCCCTTTTTCACCTTGACATGTTTTCCAATGGGCTTTCTTGTCCATGTTGGGGGTGTCGTCAGTGCACGGTCAGTGAAGCTTCTGGATCGTATCCACAACCCTGGTAGGTCTGCTTATGTAAATGGTTCCAATAAGCTGCATGTAACCCTTCATACTGTCTTGTAGTAGATTTTGCATACAGAAGCTCTTTTTGATTAGATATAAATGTCACATTAAGACAGCTTATTACACCATTAGGAAACAGGTTATATTATACATTTAATAGTCTGACATTTTTTGAGACAGATTAATTTTTCATTGTGGTGGGGGAGATTCGCACTATCTTTGCACCACTGCATTATGATCTGTGCTGTTTTGCTTTTCTATGGTGCTGTCGTTGTCAGTGGAGGGTTCAGTGCATGACAAAGCAAGCTTTGTGTTTTGTAGACAGTGATAAGGTGTCTGCACAATTGTGTCTGTAATAAAGCATCCAACTGGTGTTGAATTCTGCTAGAATGCATTACCGTTACATTTCATTTAATATGATTAAGACTTTATGAGCAGTTGTTTAATAAAGTTTTGAAAACAGAAATAAAGAGAAAATTACATTGTTTAAATGGATTAAATCAAGTACGACAAATGATGAAGTAATTCATTTTGTAATTTATTATCAGAGCTATTAATTTGATGAGTGTCAGGTGACAAAAACAACCTCTTATAAATCAGCTACTGGACGAGTACCAAATCTAGTCAAACCAAATAAGCTAGATGGATTGAGTGGACTCCAGTATAACCTTTGTTTCTTTTTGTAAAAAAAATTGAATGCTGAAAATCTGATCGAAAATCTTGATTATGTATTTTAAAGTATTACTTTGATTGATATTTACATTCTTAAAGTTAAGATCTGCTAGTGCCAAATTCACCCCATCCAGTCACACTGAGTGCAAACATTTAATGAGTGCTCCAATTTCTACAGTAAAATAATGCAAGGGTTTTGGAAATGTAGGCTGAATCTCCCCCTGTTCTTGGATTTTGGAAAAAGTTGTCTTAGAAAGTTGAGGTATGTTTTGACATTTCTCTTCAGACAGCTGGCCTTTGTTGTGCTCATTAGTGAAGGTAACATTAAATTATGTAGTGATCCTAAATTAGACACAAAAACTCTGGGGAAAAAACAATGGCATGATTATGTCTTTAAAGACCAAGAAAAAGTAACAGCATGGTTTGTCAAGCCTTCAGTGATTCTTTTATTAACATGTCTTACAAAATGTAATACTTTTTCACTTAATGCAAGAATTGCTCCTTCAGTCCTTAGAATTGCAGCTGCTTTCCACAGAGCTTTAATTAAATTGAGGACTGGCCTAGTCTTTAGACTGCTGCAGCATGCTCCTTACTCTGTCTTCTCTGAATAAACCTCTGATTAACTCTGTTGTCTGTGTCTTTCCAGTTCCTGTGGAGTGTTGTTGTCCAGTGTTGTGCTCATGTTTGTCTTGTTTGTAGATTTTTTCCTTTCTCTTTTCTGCTCCTTTAACTGATCTACTAATTTGCTGTTTTGAACTCAGCCTTTGTCGGAATTATGGGTAACACAAGATCATACAAACTGCTAGACTGGAATAGTTTCACTGCAGGTATTTTACTACTCCTTCAGTATTGCACATACTGACAGAAATTATGGCAGCTCAGTGAAGTTAGTCTATTTGTAAAAGTGAAACAATCCAGAAATATTACTTTTTTACAGACATACGAACTGGTGATGGGCATCATTATGTTTCTTTTAAAAGGTGTGTAGTAAGACTTTAAATTCTACACTTTGATTTATTTGTCACTTTGAAGACCTCAGCTAAGAGACGTAAGAAATCTTATGTAATTAATTAAGGCTTTCATTTCAATGTGGAAAAGTTAAAATGATTATTGCTAAAGAAACAGAGAGAGAGTTATGTAAACTTATATGTACATTTTTTCCTACTGCAGATTTTTATAAATCACTGCCAAACCAATAAGAAATACTAGGCCTACTATAGTGTAACCTACTCTGTAGATTACATTCTCATCAACTCCCAACATGCAAAATAAACCCAGGTGTAATTAATTGACATAAACAACAGAAAATAATGGGTTTGATACATCAGCTAACTAGTTTTTCTGTCCAGTATTTATATGCTCCAGTTGTCTATTCAATATTTCGTGTTTGGCCTAAAGACTTCTTAATGGATAGTCCTAATTCCAAAGAGCTTAGTTAGGATTTGTGTGTGTTCTGCCTGTAAGTCTTCAAAAGAGGCTAATTCCCTTGGCGGCACAGCTGTTGTAGTGGAGATTTTTTGCATAAGATACACAATTCACTGGAAACAACATTTTAAAACAGTTACATTATTTTATCATAAGCTACATCTTATAATTTGTTCCATAGCAGAAAGTATGCTTTTGAAGTGTGCTTTAGTAACATGATGTGGAATATTTAATTAACATTTTTAATCTCTTGTGCCAAATTTTATTAAAACTGGTATTTAACAAGAAATGTGTGCACAGAAAATGACCAATTCAGTGAAATTGGTGTGACAATTGGCCAATTGATTGATTGTTTTCTAATATGCTAGATTTCAGTGTACCTTTACTTTTGTTTCTTTAATTAGACATTTTAATTATAATCATTCCTAAATTAATGAGTTCTTTCAGACTAACTTTAAAGAGATACTGTAACTAAAACAGTATTTTTTACAGAATAATTTGTATTTTAATTAGTGTTGTCACTTGGGTCTTTCTGAAAGACATTCTGTGAAAAGAAAGATTCAAGTAATAGTTTTTGTTTTATATCTCCAGTCACTTAAGAGGTATGAAACTTGTGCTGCCCATCACCATACAGTAAAATAGAAATTTGGTACACATGGGCTACATATCATAATAATATGTTTAATCAATCTTTAAAGATTTAAAATTGTGAGTTTGCATCCCTCTTCCTAGTCCGAAGCATCAGTTCTCTTTTGTAACCAACAGCATTCTTGACCACCAAGCATGTTTCACAGATGCTTTTTTGTAAAACAAAACAGTACATTTGTTTAAGCTACTTATGGTTGTTAAGGAGGTTGTTTGATATTTACTGTAATTGTGGTGACAAATTGTATGAATACATTTGCTTTTCCTATCCACTTGTTCATTTCACAATATTTTGCTTAGATGCATTTTTTCACTTCTTACATTTCGGTAAGCTTCCATGACATTAAGAAAGAGTTGGCCTTGAAATGTCAAAGCCTATACAGTTTACTGGTAAATCATCCTGGTCCAATTGCAGTTATTCACTTAGGTTTCAGAAGAAGGATTTGCCTCAAACATTTGTTTGGCTATCTGTTCTCTGAAGAGCAATTGGAAGGGGAAATGCAACGTAAAAATGTAATATCCATGCTAATGGATACAAATGGGTCTGAACTACATGATAAAATATTCTTCAGTTAAGCATGTAATAACTTTGTAGTTTTAACTGTTAATTGGTTGCTTTTATATTTGTATTATTTTAAGGACTAAATTTATTAAAATAGCAATACATTTATACAGAGGAAGTCTAATAAGACTGTACAGGGCTGCAGGAGGTAACATTTTCAACCATTAATGTGTTGGGTCTGGTATTGACGGTAGCATCCAGGCTCAGGATACATTAAATATAGAATTGCATGTTATGCTTTTTTTGCAGATTTAGGGCCATAACTTCTTTAACCATTTCAGTGAGCTGCCATACTTTTCAGTCTGTTCTGTCACGTGACTCAAGCATGCGCCAAGATAACCCACCATTTCTGGTTACTGTCTGCTGAAGCTGCTTTTTGGCATTTCCTTTGCACTTAAATCTAAATGCTTGTCTAAAGAGCATCTTGAAGAACCCTTCTGGAAATAAAATAAATAAGGCATGTGCATTCCTGTATCCCAAGGGCCGTATTCATATTGTAATGATAATTTGAGCCATGCTCCAGGTTACCTCCATGCAGATCCAGATGCAGACATTAGGAAAGATTATTCTTATTGGTTTTACGATTACTTTCCAGAAAATTCCAAATGTGGCAATCAGGTAACACCTTTGATTACTGCTCAGTCAGAACTCTGATCATGGGCAGCAATATGCCTTTTGGGAAATAATTCTCAATACACTCTTTCTTTCAGACAGCAATAAATAATGCATAATTATTTTTTAAAAAGCAGTACAAATTAAGTCTAGGATAGCATTTGTCATGTTGATCCAGAGAACCCAGCAGGTCTCCTGTTTTTTTCTAGTTAAGCTCTAAATGATTTAATTTGCCTAATTAGTGCACAATTAGAATACTGTACATTAATGGGACTCCTGGATCTCTGCTCACTGGTCTTTTAAAGCTGTCTCTTCAGATCTGCAAGACTTTGACTCTACAAATTATTGTACTAGTAGGTATTCCTTATTGCAGGTAATGGGTTTATTCCAAGCTGAAAAGAAAGGAAACACAATGTTTTGGCTGTGGAGCCTTCCTTAGGTGTCCAAAAAGGCTCCACAGTTGACACCTGAAGAAGGCTCCACAGCCGGAATGTTGTTTCATTTCTTTTCAACATGGAATAAACCCGTTACCTGTTCCTTTGCAGCCTATGCATGCTGACACAGCTACCTACTTGAACCATTATTCCTTATTGCAGTACATGTCTATAATTAACTCCCAACTCCAGCACTAACCATTCTGGTTATGCAATCTATTGTATCTGTAGTATTTTATCGACAGTAAAATGTAACTGCTGTGAACCAAGAAGATTAATAGATTAAATTTAATATATGTCTTCTAAACATGCCTGATTTAATGTAAAACCAAGAAATCCTGACATTTTTCTCATTTGCTGATTATTTTGTATTTTTAAAACTGTAAACTGTGTCTGTGCAGGTAGCCAAAATATTGGGGGAACACCTAGATGAGTGTATTCCTCTCCATTTTAGAGATTTTCATCTCTCCTTGATGAGAATCCGGGAACGTGATCAATGAATATGGCCCTTATACCCCACAGCCAAGGTCTTAATAAAACATCCTTGTGAAACTGTGTGGCTGTTTTGTAAGAAATGTCTGCTGTTGTGGATACATTATGCCAAGATAATTTATTGGGCAGTCTTTAGAATTGTCTCTCCATTTTCTTTTTTCTTTGGTTTCAGTAAACAAATGCAAATCATCTTTTAACCATTCATGTATATTGTAATAGTACTAAACATATTTGAGATTCAGTGTTGGATGTTTCTCTTTAAAATCTTAATGGATTAGTTAGTGGATTCAGCTCTTTTTCTTGTGATTTATTTGTTGCGCACATTATAATTACTACCTTCTAAATGATCAAACTGATCATTGATAGGTTAAAATCTTTCTGAAAATTCTAATCAATACATGGTACTTTATACAGTATATAATCAATCACAAGTGCTTGAACTCTTCAATCTGACTAATAATAAATTAGACTAATTTATAAAATCTTTTGTGCTGTAATATAGCTTATATTTTTATTAATAAGATGTACCTTTTTGTGAGTATTAAGGTCTTACAGGTCAAACATGTTTAATGAAGGAGCCTTTTTATTATTTTGTTCACGGTAAAGTGTATTTGTATCTTTCAGATGAACCTGAAACTCGTGATGCCTGGTGGGAAGAAATCAGACAGGAGATCAAATCTCATGCCAAAGCATTGGGATGCCATGCTGTAGTTGGTTACAGCGAATCAACAAGCATCTGGTAGGTCAGAAAGAGATAAGTCTTACTTTGTATACTCTGTATGTTCTTACATGTAGCTTAAAGTCTAATTTTCTAATAGTTTTAAGCATGCTTTCTGATAGTCATTACCCTATTTCAGGAACTTCAAAGCCACCCTTTGCTGATAAATAGGTGCCACATTAGATTTAGATTTTAGATCACTTTATTAGCCATATACAATTTTTGGCATTTGGAATTTGTCTTTTCGCATACCCCAGCTTGCTCTCCACATTAGGAAACAATTGTGAAAAGAATCATTCTCTTGTAAATTCAAAGAGTTGCAGTTCTTTATTTTTTAGACAGTCCTGTCCTATTTTACTTTCTAGTCATTCTTTCCACTGATGCTTAGTTTTCCTTTCTTAAACATAACGTCTTAGTATAAACATATCATAATCTCCAGTTGTTTGATGTAATTTTATTCAGTTCTATTGAAATTCTGGTGTAAAGATTGTAAAGATTGGCTACAGTATTTGCACCATAATATTGCATAGTACAGATTGCGAACAGATTTATTAGAGCTCTTAATCTGTTTGAGATATGCGAAAAAGGGATCCTTTTCAAGGGATGACTGATACCTTCGTTGTTTGATTTCTGTTTGGCTACAAGGAGCCAGTTTGTAAATATTGACTGTTTTATAGCATTTGTATTTAGATGTTGATATTGTTCATAGGGTGTTCCACGGAGTTCTGTGATGGGACCTTTGCATTTTAGTGTTTACTTATTGCTTCTTAAACAAATATGTTAGCCATCAGGGATTTGGGTTCCACTGCTATACTGATGACTCTCAAATTAAATTTCAGACCAAAATCAGATACTAGTCCTGCAGCAACTTCATTTGACATGTGTCTGCCTGATTTTAAGATCTGGATACTATAGAACTTTCTAGGTAAAGCATGGCAAGTACAAGGGTATGCTCATAGTTTCTCAACATAAACTTATAAAGTTGGTAACGTCAGTATTGTTCTTGACAGTGCTGAAAATCAACCCTTTTCTAGCGGAAGGTAAAAAACTTGGTGCTCCTTTTGACTTTATGTTGTCATTGGAAGTGTTTGTTAGGAATATCACAAGCATTTCTTCCTTCCTGCATAACTTTACTTGATTTAAATCCTTGTTTTGCCTGTCTGATGCTGAAATATTGATGTAGTGCCTCATTTACTGGGGTATCTTCAGGTGCTAAATAGACTTCTTTCCAGAAATCCAGTAACTCCCTTCCTCTGTAAATTTCCCTTACTCCCTGTGCAATTTAGAGTGGACGTCAAGGTTATTCTCTTAAAATTAAAAGCACAAAACGGTCGAGCTCCAGGTTATCTTTTCTGAGATCTCCTCAGTTTTTCGTTTTACTTAGGCAAAAATTGACTTCAAATTATTGAGTGACAGAGCCTTCATGTATACAGAAAGTCATAGGCCAAGTCCATCAGACACTTTACAGCCATCAACATTTTTGAACTTGCTTAAAGACCTTTCCACTGGAAAGGTTTTCACTAAAACTATTCATTTGTAATTAAGGTTTGCTATTTGGTTTTTGAAAGTCATTTTGCTGCGCTCTGTTTTTTTTGCCTAAAATGTACATTATGTATGCTATTGTCCAGCACTTTGTTTTAGAACATTTTGAGGCACATTTTTAAAATTACTTTTCCTGTCCACAGAGATATACTCATAGCGCTATACAATTTTAAATTATATTATATGTGTGGAAATTAATATGATCTGTATTCTAGATTTTCTCTGTTGGTATATATTGAAAATTAAAAGCTTCAGTAGTTTTTTTTTTTCAAATTAGTTTAATTAATAACTCCAGTATATGCAAACTCAGGTAGGAAAACATATTAACTAATATTTGGTTCAATTTTAATTTGTTTTTCTTTTTCTGTTTATTTTGTAGTGAAGAGGTTTGCATTCTTTCTGCATCTGGCACGGCAGCAGTTCTTAATCCCAGGTTCCTCCAAGATGGCTGCTTGGACAGCTGCAGTGAACACAGGTTGTCAAGGCAGCCTGCCTTCTTTTCCACAGGGTCAGAGAAGGGAGAGTTTGATATTTTTCTTCAGAGCAAGGATAGTTCTTCCATGTTAGGGTAGGTTACAGAGCTACAATGCAGGCGAACAGGACCGAATACTTAACTCTACTAATATGCTTTGGTATGTTCGCTATGTCTTTGTTCAATTTATTCTCAGAATTTGTTTCAAAATGACTCTCATTACTAACCAAATAATACCGACCAATTCTTTGTTAGTTTACTGTGCTAAAAAAATAAATATTCTACATGGTTTGATCCTGAGATAGCTGGCTGAACAAATGACTTCTGAAGTACATTGTCCATTTCAAAACTTCAAAAAGTTCAATTTATACAAAAAATAGATTTACAAATGGAGTTTGGCATCTGTCTCCCCTTCTGTCTCCCCATTTCTCAGATTTATTTTTTTAATTGTTGCACAAGTAAAGCATTTTCATCATGATGTTTTTTAAATTTTTGATACTTTTTAATATGCAAATCCATTTACATTTAGATAACAATAGAAAACAAGCAAGACCTGTTTTTTATATACAGTGATTTAATTATTTGGATCGCAGTTCTAATGTCCATCCGTCTTTGCCATTGCAGATTAGAGGAGCCATCTCCTCCTAGCTGTGGATTTTGCCATATTCCTTATGATGAGCTGAACATGCCTTTTCCAGCACATCTTACATACTGCTATAATTGCCGGAGGCAGAAAGTCCCAGATGTTCTTTTCACCACAATAGACTTGCCAGTTGAAGCTGCAGTAACTGGAAAAGGCTGCCTCATCCAGGCCAGGTAATATTCAAAATATTGTATTCAGCCTGTTTTTGTTTTCGGTGGCTATTCCCCCTACCATACCCTTCGTTTTACCATTGTTTCACTAATGCATAACAACATATTATATAGAAAATTTCACTTTCCCTCCCAAGTGCTTTACAGTGTGTCAGATGGCACAACAGAATAAGCATGAAGCACTTTAACAAATTACATATTACAGTTAATCTGCAGTTTAACTATACAAAAACTATTAAAGAATATTTGTTATAAACTATGAGTGTACATTCCCTTTCTTCACCTAATCTTTTGTACAAATGATATTATTAAATCACTAACCTGCACGTGCTCACCTTTACAATTAGTTTAGTGTGGTATCGAAACTAGTCTTTGAAAAGTATCCTTCCTATCTACTATCTCAGGATGTATTACTTTATCCCTGTTTGAATCGAGACAGAACAACTGTACAACAGGTAAACAGACTTTTTTTTTTTAAAAAGTCCTGAGCTCTGTTATTACTTCTCAAATATTCTATTTAGTTCTGTCTGTAGTTTAAGTTTGTGATGTTGAGAAATCCAAGACTATACCGTTTGCAAAGACTTACTGGATAGGTAATACAGATATTTGCAAGAACATAAGGAAGACTACAAATGAATGGAGGCCATACGTCCCATAAGGCATATGAAGTATCATTTTACAGACAGTGTTTAAAGTTTGCATCTGTAGTTTGTTTTTGCTACCTTCATGTAGTACTTGGCTCTGCATTAAACAGAGGTCTTTATACTGATCCCTATCATACTCCATCAATTACAAATCCCCAATTGGACAGCATTCATCACACATTTATTCTGTCTTCTGTCCATTAACCAGTTTTCAATCCAAGAACATCAATTACCTTGAATGCCTATTGCTTTCAATTTGAGAATTCGTGATAAAATATGAACTTAATCAATTCGTCTTCTGAAAATGTGTATGTGCTATACAAAATGCTCTAAGTGTTCACTAGTGTTGTTTTTTCAGCAAATGTTTTGTTTAGTAAAAAAGATTATTGACCCACTTATTCTAAAGCCATGTTGACTTTTCTCTTGATTTGTATTTCCATACAGACAAAACTCTCATTCTTGTTTTTATTGTTTGCAAAACAAAATGCATAATAAAGAATTACTGGTTTTAATTACTTGTTTGAGTTTTTGTACTGTATTTATGGGTGGATTAACATGAGCAATTTTCCAGTGTGCGGGCACTACCCCTTTCTTGAATGACTGTTGGAAGATTTTTTCTGTCGACATATGAATAGCATACAGTAGGTTAAATTATTAAATCAGTCTGCCATTTTGTTTTTGGCAGGCTATGCCGTCTTAAGAAAAAGGCTCAGGGAGAGGCAAATGCTACAGCCATCAGTAACTTGCTTCCATTCATGGAGTATGAGCTGCACACACAGCTGATGAACAAGCTGAAGCTTCGTGGGATGAATGCTCTCTTTGGGCTCAGGATCCAGATCAGTGTCGGAGAAAACATGCTGGTTGGCCTGGCAGTAAGTGTTCGATCCTTAGTCATATTTTTGTGTCTGGATAAATGGATACATTTATTTTTTAAAATATTTTTATTTTTTTAGGTTCATCATTGATGAAAAGCCACAGCAGACAGATATAGAGATGAGAGAGATGGCTTGCAAGTGCTGTAGGAAACCACTGTGTTGGACATATCCAAAACTTAAAACACTTTATAAATATGTACTTAAACATTATCATTGAAGGAATTGGATAAAAATGTAAAATACAAGTGAAGTACACTGAATGTTTGATGTTTTTTTTTAATTTTTTGTTAACATAATGTGATTTTTGTCTTTATTTCATTTAGTCTGCCACGGGTGTGTATTTAACTGCCCTGCCTACCCCAGGGGGTATCCAGATTGCTGGTAAAACTCCAAGTGACATGTCTTATGAGCAGCATATATCAAACATGCAAAAGAAGATCAATGACACCATTGCCAAAAACAAAGAGCTGTATGAGATAAACCCCCCTGTAAGTAACAAACGTTGTTCAGCATTTTTTCATGGCAGTGTTTCATATTATTGGCAATGTTTGATACTATTTCTAAATGTATTAGTTACTGGTGTTACTGCTTGGGTTGGAACTGTAACAGGTACTTTAAAATAGGAGAATCCTGGGCAACAGATACGTGAAGATATTTGGCAAATAAGATGAACAAATTCTCTTCATTTACAGTGCAGGAAATGCTAAAAACCAAAACAAAACCTAACTCGTTTAAAGAACTTAGTAAACATTTACATGTATTAGGGATTATATTTTATAAATATATTAAAATATTAGATTAAAAATAAGAAGCTATGGAAGGTACCATCATAAAACATCTCTTCATTCTTGCAAAATCACGTCCTTAATCCATAGTTACTCACTTGCTTGGCTGCTTCTCCTACTGGTGCAGTACTTTTACTTTTAAATTGTCCCACAGCCTTCTTTTCTCAAATTACAGAGTGCAGTAAAGCCAGTCATGAATGATCAGTTAATCAGTAAGATGCCAAAAATATTTGATCAATAACCAAAGACATACTTTTTTCTGATATTCAGCTGTAATTTTTCCCTGTGTTTGTGCCTAAAGGAGGTAATTGATGAAATAATTGGTTCACCGATCCCAGAGCCCCGGCAGCGATCCAGACTCTTTAGGTCTCACTCGGAGAGTTCTGATGAGGTGTCTGAGCTGGATCTGTCCCATGGGAAGAAGGACGCCTTTGTCCTTGAGGCAAGTCAGACATAGACAATATATTGCAGTTGTGAATTTATGAGCTAAAAGTAACAACAGACCTTAATGCCTAAATTTCTAAATGAAAAACAACACAGTCACAACATACAGATGCATCATTGCAGGCTTCCTGGACTGGACTGTCCTGGTCTAAACTGACTTCATTTTGTACTTACCTGCTTAAAGTTAAAGTTAGCAGCCACTGCTCTCATTAAGTCTTAACAGCATGAAACTCCAATTTTGACTAGTGAAATTGACTTATACATCTGTCTTGCAAGGAACATATCCTTAATGAATTGATCCTTAAGTGAATTAAGGATTAGCTGGAGTTGCTGGAGAAATGCAGTGTAATGGAAGTGCCTAGGTTGACTACTGTACCCATGCTCTAAACAGACTTAATTCTGCTTTATGTATACAGTTGCAAGAAAAAGTTTGTGAACCCTTTGGAATTACCTGGATTTCTGCATTAATTAGTCAGAAAAATGTGGTCTGATCTTCAACTAAGTCACAATAATAGACAAACACTATCTGCTTAAACTAATAACGCACAAACAGTTGTACTTCTTCTTGTCAATATTGAACACATCATTTAAACTTTCACAGTCCGGGCTTGAAAAAGTATGTGAACCATTGTATTTAGTAACTGGTAGAACCTTTAGCAGCAATAACCTCCACCAAACGTTTCCTATAGCTGCTGATGAGATTTACACAAAGGTTAGGAGAAATTTTAGACCATTCCTCCTCACAAAACTGTTTCAGTTCATTGATATTTCTGGGATTCCTTCCATGAACAGATGTCTTCAGGTCATGCCCCCGCATCTCAATTGGGTTGAGGTCTGGACTTGGCCATTCCAGAACACGCATTTTGTTTTGTTTAAGCCATTCTGTTGTTGATTTACTCATGTGTTTTAGATCATTGTCTTGTTGCATCACCCAACTTCTATTAAGCTTCAGGCGACGAACCGCTACCCTGACATTCTCCTGTAAAATTTCTTGATACAATTTTGAATTAATTGCTCCCTCTATGATAGCAAGCTGTCCAGGCCCTGAGGCAGTAAAGCAGCCTCAAACCATGATGCTCCCTCCACCATGCTTTTTTTCTTCCAAACATAGCATGCGTATGCCAAAGAGTTAAACGTTTGGCTCATCCATCCGCAGAATATTGTCCCAGAAACATTGTGGAACATCCAGGTGGTCTTTTGCAAACTTGAGATGTGCAGCAATGTTTTTCTTGGAGAGCAGTTGTTTCCTCCTTGGTGTCCTTCCATTAACACCATTCTTGTTCCGTGTTTTTCTTATAGTGGACACATGAACAGAGACTTTGACAAGTTCAAGAGATTTCTGCAAGTCCTTTGCCGTTACCCTAGGGTTCTTTCTTACCTTCTTCAGCATTGCACGCTTCGCTTTTGCCGTGGTCTTTGCAGGACGCCCACTCCTAGGGAGAGTAGCAACAGTACTGAATTTCCTCAGTTTGTAGACAATATGTCTTACTGTGGGTTGATGAACACCCAGGCTTCTAGAAATGCCTTTTCCAGCTTTATGCATCTCTACAATTCTCCTTCTAAGGTCCTCTGATATTTCTTTTGATCAGGGCATGGTTCACATGAACAGCTCTTTCTTGAGAAGCGCAGACTCTGTCAGTAACCAAACTTTGTGTGCCTTTTTAATAGGGCAGGGCACCCCCAACCCACACCTCCAATCTCATCTCATCTCATTGATTGGAACACATGTTAGCTTTTGGAGAAGTCATTAGCCTAGAGGTTCACATACTTTTTCCAACCTAGACTATGAATGTTTAAACAATGCATTCATTACTGACAAGAAGAAGTACAATTGTTTGTGTGTTATTATTTAAAGCAGATTGTGTTTGTCTTTTATTGTGACTTAGTTGAAGATCAGACCACATTTTTATGAGTAATTAATGCAGAAATCCAGATAATTCCAAAGGGCTCTTTTTCTTGCACCTACAGTATATAAACTCAAACTCAAAGTTTGCAGTCATGGACAGCGTTCCAACCCTTAGTTGGGCTTATCTTCATTAATGGTCACATTTCCCTAAAATATTTGTAGTGTTTTTACATATGTGTTAATTAGTGGGGGCTGGAGGGTGAAGAGAATATAGTAATTTAAAAATCTTATATTATTTCTTATTTAAGCAGACAGTTCCTGAATTTTCATAGCAGCACTTGATGTGCTGCTCACAATGAAAACCACAATTCTGTATGAACGCAATCATTTAAATATTCCCTCCAATATGTTAAGATTAAAATAACAATTTGCATTTGTGAGCCAAACATCCCTGAGGTACTCATCCACATAAACTCTGACATTGTTGCTCTCTTTTCAGATTGATGATGCCGATGCAGTAGAAGATATCCATTCTTTACTGACAGATGCTCCTTTGCCACCAGGTACAGGAGAAGATTATTGGACAGGGTTCCTGTACAGCTTACAGAAAAGAGATGGTTCTTAGACACTGTGCACCTTGATGTTTTCTTTAAATTAGTATTTATAATTTTTTATTATTTGTTCTTTGTGGATAACCTTTTTCCTGTTGTGAATTCACTTAGTCCTCTAAAGTATTTTTTTTATTCTTTATAGGGTTTTATAGTTGCAATACCGAGATAATGCCAGGGATATACAACTGGACAGCTGGAGTGCAGGTAATGCTACTAGAATATTTTTTTTGTTTCTCGGTACTTAAGCACCTGTTTTGGAGTTTAAAACATCTCTTCTTTTGCCCTTTAGATGTTTACCTCAGTGAGAGTATTCAGGTTAAACAATGCGATCTTGACAAACCAGGGACTCAACAAGACTTTTAATGATCTCTGTGAGAATCTGCTAAAGGTATGATTTTTCCCATATTGTACTGAGCATAATGGGGTTTTAATGAACTTTGTGAAATGTACTTAATGCTTTTCTTGAATTATTCCTTCTCTAATGTGTAAATAATACTTAAGCACAGTTATTTACATGTTATCGGGAAATGATGTATCATAAGATTGATGTGTTTGAATTTTGAGAATTTGGGATTAAGGCTTCTGTCTTTGCCTTACAGAGTCTATATTTTAAACTGCGTTCCATGATCCCTTGCTGCCTGTGCCATGTGAACTTCGCTGTGGCTGTGCCTGAGGATGAACTTATTCAGGTTGGATAACAAGATGTTTGTTCATCCTTTCTGTGATTGTCATTAATTGTATTTTAGGGGGTAGATTTATAGTGAGTTATAACATGCAAATTCTTCGGTTCTTCATTTTATAGTTCTTCAGTTGAGGCATATCTTGAGAACATAAGAAGTAATTCTTTCCATCTTGATTGCTTGGTTGCTACTGATTGTTAAAGATCTCATCCACACAATCTTTCTAGAATCCCACTGTGAACCCTCACATGGCTAGTAAGCAGACATTTATAAATAAATTTACATTTATTTCCAAGAATCCAAGTTCCCCAGCAGCACTGGAATAGAAAGTGTTTTTTTCTGTTAAAATGGTATTAAAAATCCATTACAGACTACATTATTACATTGATGAAAAGGTAAGGGTACATATGAAAAATATTACACTTGATATTGTCACAAATTTCATGAATTATTTCAGGTGGCTGTCACTGCTGTTGCAATGACTTTTGACAAAGACCAAGCCCAAGAAAACTGGAAACTCAGTGTGGATAAGTCACTCATGAAAGGTATGATTTGTTTATTTATTAATGTGTTATTATCTATGTATTTATTAATGTGTTTTATCTTGTTTTATAGTAGCTTTGTACAAATGTTTATATTTAATTTAATGTTAACAGTGACCATACAATTATTTTGTTTGCACAATATATTCTAAATAGTGTGATGCAAGATTGTAAATCATGTACTGTATGTCTAAGATGGGAAATAGGTGTGTCATATTTATTAAAGATCATAATGAATGAAAATCAGTTGTAACTGCAATTTGCATTTTGCACAGTAAACAGGTGACCTTAATTATTCCGTTGCCTTTTATTTCAAATTATTTGCAACTACCTGTAAGTCTTAAACCAAGATGTTATTAAACAAGATATTGTTTCATTTGTTGTTCATCACTTAAAAACAGCCTGACCTGTTATCTACAGCAGTTTGGGTTCGTGTATCTAAACAGACAAACTACATCCTTGAAGATTAATCAGCATTTTCTTTGAAAAGATTATGGCATCGTTATTTCAGAATACATTAGTTTTAGTTAAAACCACAAGCTCTAAAGCCCTAAACTTAAAGGTTTGCAGTGTATATAAAAATGATAATTCCTTCAGCTTTGTCTTATTAACATATTTTAGGTTGAGGAAGAACTAGCATATTGACACAATTATTTAATTCCAAATTATCTGTACATATTTATTAATCTTTACATATTTTACGTATTATTATAAGTAGATTTATAAGGAAAACAGTGTTTTCAGTGTCATGGCATTGCAAGGAAAGATATTTTGTGTGATGAAGATTTAATGGTGGTAATTTAAAAAATTCAGATATCTGATATCCAATTTAAATTCAGATATCTAATTTGATCAGCTATCTAATTTCAATTCATTATTTAAATTAGAAATTCAGATATCTGTTTTTTTTTTGCAGATCAGATTTTCAGTTAATCTGGCTGTGATTAATGTGTGGGTCAGCAACCTTTCTTAAAAAAGCTTTATTTTTAAAAGCTTTTCTTTCAATGGAGTCCAAAATAGTGTGAAGTATATAATTTGTTTTCAGTATGCAAATATATACGTATTTGAGTTTCAGTTGGAAGACGTAAGATTCAATAAGAACGCTGATAGATCACAGCTCAGCTTTTCATTTGTTGCCTGAAATGGCCAAATCAAATAACGGAAAATTACATTTTAATGGTTGTTATTAAAAGGTGAATATTCTCCTGGTTTGTAGGAATGGAACTTATGTATTATGTTAGATAATGTTACTTGTTTTTTATTTTTAAAGTGATAAGTGAAAATGAGGAACAACTCCAATTTCCATTAGAGCTGTGTTCCGACTCCCCATGTGCAAACCCCTTCTCACCCGGCAAAAGCACAGGTACGTAGAACCTCACAGTTCTTTACTGTACATTCACTGCATGTAGTAGAAGTAATCACACTAACAATACATGCAATCCTTATTTAAGCTGCTTGGAAATCAGTTCAGCATGTTTGAAGTAAACTGCATTCAGAAGGACTGCTGAAAATAGCATACATAACATGCCTAAAGTACTTTAGGGGAAATGTCCTTTTTGCTGCCAACAGATGTCACTTTTTTCCTTGAAAATAAATGTACCAAATGTAAATTACTGGACCATAGCAACCTAAGCTGCTATCATAACAGAAAACTAATTGAAGAAAAGACTATTTAACCCATCTTGCTTGTTTGGTTGTTAAATAATCCAAGAGGATTCAGATGTTCTTTGAAGGATCTTAGGGAATCTACTTCAGGAAAGTGGAAGGGTAGTTTTCAAATCTCTTTATTTTCTTCCTTGTTCAGTGCTGAAAAGATAGTTTAACCCATCTGTATTTGATGAGTTATTGTTCTATGAGTTTATATCTGATTTCTTTCCTGATCAGTGGTGTTTTTTGTAATACTTTTTACTTAAGTACAGTGACATGTTCTTATAATATACAAGCATGAACATCTTTTATCTGATTAATTTTAAAGGGAAATTTTGGATGGATGTGTTTTGAACTTTAAAAGTTTAGAACATAATCTGCTACACTTTCAAATCCAGTTTCTCATATTACCCAGGGGTCTGGGACACAGGGGTATCCTGAGTGACTCTAGCAATTACCCAGAAACAGAAGTGAATGGTTTTGCACAGTGGACCTCCTTCATCAATATTTATGATGCATCTTTCATCTGTATTTCTTTTTTAAACAATTAATAATTAGTAGTAGACTAATGTCTGTTGCAGTTAAGGTAGCATGGTGGTAGCAATGCTGCTTCATAGTTCAAAGATTTGATTTAAACTTTACAGAATTTGTATGTTGTATTCCAAAGATGTGACGTTTGATTGGTAATGCTAAACTGTCCTTTTCCGTGAGGTAGTCTTCCCAATGACAGTCTATGGTTAGTAATTGGGTTGCATATTGACTTGCAAATTTCAATATTGGGAATTCATCATTATTCCCATAGGAATTATACAGACAGGCTTTGAGACATGCAGCAGTGTCACTGAATGACTGCATCTTGTAATTGATTTTTTTGGTCTTGTTAGGACTTCAGGAGTCCACAGGCATGCACACAGTCCCTGGTGCTCAAAGAGGTTAGTTATTTCTGCTTTGGCTCATTCTAATTCATTGGAAGAGGGTGCTTTAATTCTTTTTTTCACAGATTATTGATTCATCAGAGAAGCACTGAAGCAACAGACGTCATCCATATTTTCTTTTTTCTTTGTCTTTTTTTTCTGTCTGTGTGTTTTCAGCCACCTCAGTTGATTACAGTTCCTTTGCAGACAGATGCAGCACCTGGATAGAGCTCATTAAACTGAAAGCTCAGACCATAAGACGAGGATCAATTAAGACAAGTAGGAAAAAATGCTTCTAGCTGACTATGGTGACAATCTGAGCGGTACCTGTGACCCCTCAGTGGTGACAGGGTGGACTTTGCTGCCCAGAAATGGCATTGCAGATCAAGCACAGCTGATTTCAGAGTGTGAAAGCTGAGGAATGCACTCCTTCAGGTTCTCCTCTGTGGAGTAATGGTGACAAAATGTTTTGATTACATGAATGTGTAATGAGGCAGAATAAAAGTAATCTAAAATTATTTAAGAAAAAAAACAATCCACGTCCTGTTAATTTTGCTAAAAGCCTGTTGATCTGTTGTGGGCAAAAATCGATTTGCTAAATATAATTAAGAGGTTACATTTTAACAAATGTAACATCTTTCACACTATTGCTCCAAGAACCTTTCTTCAGCAGACAACTTTTTTGTGTTTCTTTGTCTTCATTGTCTGATTATTGTTGGTAAACCGTGGCCTGTTGTCCTCTTTTCTGGCAAATCATTTATTTCAATCTTTTTTTCTATTTACTGCATGCAGTGCATGATTACATTTTCCTTCATGGCAGGCCATGCTTGATGTTACATCGCTGAAGCTTCAAAGATTGCTGAATGCCATCATACAACTACTCTGATACACAGTGAATTCTTGTCTGCGTATTATGTATTTCATTGTATTCATCTCTCCTGTGTTGGAAATTCATTCTACTAAATCCACTATCTTTTCTGTTTATTCTTACCTCTTTCTAGCTTCTTCACTTGAAAAAGCCAGTCCTCTGGCTGAAGGTCACTCACGTCTTCGTTCTACTACGTCATCCGCAGGCTGTACTGTCACTGTTGTCAAAATGACTCCGCTCTCTTTCATCCCTGGTGCAAAAATAATCAAATACGTTGGCATCATTAATATGTTCTTCATCCGAGAAACCACATCGTTGCGGGAGGTGAGCAACAATGTAACAGACATAGGCAGATATAGTCCTCAGGGACTTAAAGGTGTGGAGCTAGACACCAGTTAGGTATAAAAACTGCCCACATACTTGTTTCTTTCCAAATGAAAATAAAATAAATTTTGAAGGTTTTTTTTTCCAAATGACAATACATTTCCAAATGATATAAGATAACGCAGCACAGAGTCTGCCTTGCAGAGTTGGGGCCCTGGGTTCAGTTCTGGAGCTGGTGTGCTACGTGTGTGGAAATTCTATGTTCTTCCCGTGTACACACGGAGTTTGCCTGGGTGCTTCAGATTTCTTCCCACAGTCCAAAGACATACATGAAGGTTAATTACTGTAGCTTCTGTGAAAACTGGCCCTGTGAGTGTCCACCTTTGTTTTTGTGTGTGCCCCGAGATATACTAGCGTCCTGTCCAGGGTGTATCGTTTCTAGCCGGGATAGGCTCTGGCTCCCCCTTTTCACTGTATTGGATACCATGGTTAGAAAATGGATGGATAAAATAATGCTAAATATGTGATTTTAGTTTTTCTTAGAAAAATGTTGCATAAAATGTTTTCTTGCCTTTGCATCTTCTGCTGAATGTAGTGATTGGTCAAAATAGGCCTGTCACAGTAAATAATGCTTCTCTGTTTTTGTCTTGGTTTGTTAAAATTAAAATTGATTGATTGTCCATTGCCAGTGGTGTTCTTTAGATAGATTTGTGAAATGTTTTGTTTTTAAAAACCTAGAAAAATAGAAAACACGGTCATGGTGATCTGTTCATTCATGTAACTGAAACATTTAATATTTTCATTCCAAGGTCCATTGTCATGCATCTTGACTCAGACTTAGACTTTTTTGAGTATTTTTGAGTGATAACCATCATGCCCAGCCATGGGCCTAGAAGACCTCAGTGCAAAACAAATATATTTATTTTCTGTGATTTGTGTGCTTCACAGATTCTGTATGTCGGTTAAGATTTGATGTTTGTTTTTATGCAGGAGGGTGGTGTCAGTGGCTTTCTTCATGCATTCATTGCTGAGGTATTTGCAATGGTCAGAGCCCATGTCGCAGCACTGGGTGGAAATGCTGTGGTCTCTTACATCATGAAGGAGTGTGTTTTCATGGAGAATCCAAACAAGAATCAGGTATTGCTGCTGGATTTTTAAACTGTACTGATTTTAAAGCTGTTTGGCTTTTTATTTAATATACAACTGCCTCATTTACTACTTACTAAACTTTAATTTAGTGCAAATAGATGCAGGATGCACAACTCAGTTTCTACCTGTACTGTATGTGCATCACAGGCAGACAGACATTTAGCTTTTAATGCAAGTGTATTTGTCGTAATTTAAATAATGGCTAGGTCAATGAACGCTATGATGAAATAACGATAATAGAAGCGTAATAGTGTGAGGCATTGCTATACTCACACATTCATTAACTATTTTTGCATTTGTTTTTTTCCCCCTTAGGCTCAGTGCCTAATCAATGTCAGTGGTGATGCAGTGATCTTTGTCCGTGAGTCTGAACTGGAAGCCATGCCTGTACAGCCACAGACATCAACAGCACAAAGTTCCAGCAGTGGAGGAGACATTACTACATGAAGACAATTATGTGCTATTGCACACGTAAACAAAATCAGTTCCAGGTTGTGGCTGCCTTAAATCCCGATTGCTTCCTTTTCAACAGTCCTTTAATCTATTTTTTTTTTCCACTGAGGAGTGAATTGGTGCAGATCTTTCCAGTACTCAAGAATCAGGAGCCATCACTCACTTAACCATCATTTTGCATTTTTGCATGAAAAGGCATCTTTAATTAGACTCAGATGACTTTCCCTTGTTTGTAGTTAAGAGCATAGAAGTTCCTTTTGTGAGAGCATGGGCAAATTTATGTCATTTTCAATTTAAAAAATCTGTCATTGGAGACTTCTAATGTTTCACCCTACATTTAGGTACCAAAATTCCTGTTTATCAGTACTTATGTTTATTGTTGTTTTTTTTTAATGCAACAAGACATGCCACTGTTACAAAAAATTGTACATTATGAACACCAAATTAATAGTCCTGCTATTTCAATTTCAGTAGCATTAGCTACAGTACATCTATAGCTGTTCTACCATATTTTTTACTTTAATTCTTTCCACTAGATGAATCATGTTAAATTCCCGTTTATCATCCTTGACTGTTATTTTGGTACTGGGCTTTATCTTACCTGGCTAAGGGACTTAGGTATGACTGACTGAAATTCTGACTGGTTTTGTTTTTTGGTTAAACCACAAAAGCATTGCTGTTAGAGTTGGTAAATAGCTTTAAAGGAGCTTAAAATGTGTTTTTGAAATCTCATGAACATACTACTGAACCTTGATATTTTTAAATTGTCAAATGTTAAAGTTTCTGACTGCAGTAACAATTTGTAGAATAGGTGCCACAGAAAAATTGTGTAAATGTACTAAAATCTAAAATAGTATTTTTGTAATGAAGTGAGAAATCAGTCTAAAGTCCATATTTTGCATGTGTATGTGCAACTTAATCTTAGGTTTTGAATTTATATTGTTTGAAAGGTGTTGGTATATAATGAGCGTATTTGTTGGTTAAGGTAATGCAGGTTCAAACCAATTGAGACTTGAATGTATATATAGACTGCTGCGTAGTTTAATTGGCAGCTTGCTGACCTTTCCTGTCAACCTTTTTCTTTGTTTATTGGCTTGAAGAGTCTATCTTGAAAAATAAAATCATATGTTGAAATAATATACCATATACAGCATTTCAATGTATTTTTTAAATTGTATTATTTTGCTTTCCAATAAGAATCAAGCACTTGGTATAGCTTTATTGTTATGAATTGTTTGGAACCAGAGAGACAGTTATTTCCAAGTTGCATATTAAATTAATGTTGTGGTATTTAGATACTCAAAATTAACTATCCAGAATTATTGATGAATGATTTATGTAGAAAGACAAAGTGATACTCTTATTGGCATTTCACTATACTTTTTCCATTTTTCATGGCTGCAGATGAGTACCAATGTCTCATTGATTCAAGCTTTTGCAATTATGTGCATGAGAGTTAGTGTTTACATTCTTTGTGCTTTGGAAATGTCTTATAATGATTGTGACTATTGAAAAATCCAGACATCTTACATGAAAAGGATTTAAGTTTGTTCCTTGCTAAGAAATGTCCGATATGTTCAGACAAGCACAAATATGCAAATAAATGTCTCAAATATCGCCAGGAAATAGTTGAAAGATGGTGTTCAGTAATAGTAGAATGAAGTGATTCACCATCTGTGTTGCTAGAAAGAAACCATTCATCGACAGAAGGAAACGTTTATTAGGCATAAAATAGTATGTTGAAACTGGCTCCAGTTAGAGCATTTGGCTTTTCCTGCCAGGAGTTGTATGTGTTCACTTATCCTAGTAAAGACCCTTGTGGCAGAATTTTGTGTAAGCAGTAGCCAAATAATGCTTGTGTTGTATATCCTGAAAAAAGAGCATTATGGTTCAATCTGAAATCATGGATTAGGACAGAGAAATGTGTGGCTCAAAAAATGTTTCCCAGATTCCTTTGGATTTTATATTGGCTGTTAAGAAACCATTTTTAGCTAATTATATTTCTGTTGTGTACCTAGTCAATCAAGATACTGTATCTTCACAGAGTTTAGTTTCGTAAATGTCGGTAATACACTCACGGAAGACTGATATTGGGGTATTGTCACCAGGCTTTGCACACTTGTACAATTTTGTATCATCAACACTGTTGTAAAAGTAAACCATAAGCTTTGTAACTAATATGACTCAATGGTAACCTATATAAAGAAAATAAAATTGGATCACAAATACAACTGTTTTAAAGTTTTATAACACGTTTAAGCTTTCTTGCTAGAACTGGAGCAGGAATCCATAAATAGTACTGTATTTCAGAAGTGTGGAATTCAACATAGGCTTCAAGTCTTTGGGCATTCTTTTCTTAATGTTCTTATATTGAAGCAGTCTAGCAAAAACAAGATAAAACTTTTAATTTTAGGACTTAATATAGTTATTAGATTGTAGTTTGCAATTCTCTGCAGCTACCTCCAACATCTCAGGATCTTCATGCTGTCCAATACTTCAGTTCTCAGTGTATTGAACATGACAATGCAGTGCTTTTCTACAAAGTCCTAATCAGCTAGGGGCTGGAACAAACAATTCCAACTGGAATCCCACAAATGATAGGGTTGACTTTTAATGTGTTTTTCACAGTTCATTGTAACCAAAATAACCAGTATAGTCTAATACAACTAAGCGGAAAAATGCAAAGTACTATATCCTACAAAAGATTTGAATATGAACCAGAGAAAAATAGCCTGTGCTTTACAGGAGCAACTAAGCTTTTTCTGAAGAGGGGGAAATGATCCATTCATTGATGTGAGAAAGGCTTGATATAAATGTCTCACAAGAGACATGATTGTTGTATGTTGCTCTGGTGTATCATTGAAGACAATGTCATTGTCTCTTTATGGTGTGATATTCAGACAAGGACTTATATCCTTAAGGAGCCAAATATATACTTGGTATTACATATTGGTTGCAGTATGGAATTGCATTTCTGCAAATTGGTCTTAGTTAAGCTAGCCTTTTCCAGTACTTCCTTTCACAAGAATGTTTGTTAGATGCAGGAACAGGAATCATCACTCACAAAGCTATTCTTATTTAGAGACATAGTTAATTCTGCATGCTCTACTTTTTGAAACTTTGTGTTAAAACGTTTTTAAAAACAAGATGAGAAATTTGCTCCTTAGGTCTTTTCTCTGTTGTATTAATATTGCTAATATAATTGTTAAACTAAATAGCTGTTCTACATATTGCATTAATGTTGTACCAGTACTTTTAAGAGTGATTTTAATTAATTCATCCACATTTCTTCTGAATAAAATAATAGTTCCTGAAGACATATTCTTCTACAGTTTTCTCCCTTGTATTTTGCTCCTTTTATAGAGCTAAGTATTGTACACTTGGAAATGAGAAATTTGTATTTTCCCCTATACTGTGTCTTGCAAAAATATTATTTCAAAGTTTTCACATTTTGTTGGTTAAAAACTACAATCATGACACTTTATATTATTTTTTAAAATATTTTTTTTCATATACACAACCTACTCTTCACATGCAAGGCAAATACAAAAAGTACATTTTTAAAATATTGAAAAGTCATAACTGCAAAGTATTCAAACTCCTTACTGTGGCAAACAAATTAATTAATAAAGTAAATTAATAAAATAAATTAAATGACAAGGGACCATTTGGACCATCTTGCTCTTTAGGAATCTAATTGAAAATTTTATCCAGTTATCCAGCCATTTTAAAAAGGTTTTAGGACTTTAAAAAGGTTTTTAGGACAGAATTTAGGACTCAACCACCTGGCTGGGAAGACTTTTCCAGTTCTCTTCTAAATTATTTTCCCTTAAGTTTCCAATTGTCCTTGGTTCACTACTGAGTGGGAAATAGTTCCCTTGGTTGAACTTGAAGAGATTTAGTTCCTGCAATCTATCCGTATATGACAATAACTCAAGACCAGGAATCATTTTCATTTCTTTTCTTTGAAGTCTGGTTAAGGCTATAATATTTTTTCTGTGGTATGGTGACCAAAACTGAACACAATGTTCTAGATGAGGTCTTTCTAATGAATTGTAGATCTTAAGCATAACTTCCTTGGATTTAAATTCCACACATTTCGCTACAGTTCTCTTAAAAAGTATTTGCACCCTTTCCGATTTTCTGAATTTTTGAAGATTTTTGCCACTGAATGGTATCAGATGTGGGTCCTAGTGTACGGTAAAAGGAGTCTACGTAAACCAACACCAAAGTTTGGTGCTTGTTTCATTTATTTTGTAACAAAGGTCAACCAACATCCTAAGTAACTGTGTGAAAAAATTAACACCTCCTTTGATTCAGTAAGAGGTTGCACCATCTTAAGCTGCAGTAACTGCCACCAAACACTTCCTGTAATTGATGATTGATGAGGTTAGGAAATTTGGATGTATTCCTTCACGAGAAACAGCTTCAACTCAGAAACATTTGAGAGTTTTCTTGCATTAACTGTTTCGTATCCTGCAATAACATTTTATGGTTCAGGGGTTTGTCCATCCGTTACCAGAAAGCCATTTATCCTGATGATAGGGGCCTTCCCCAGAAGGATATAAGATGTTGAGTGAGATTAATTTTTAAAGATGCTTTTAAATCATACTTTTGATAAGTCTGGATGTGGGATTTTCAGAGTTTTAGCAGAATAGGTTTTCTAACAAATCCTTCAGTATGTTTTCCACCTCTGATGACAGTTTGATTTTGTGGAAAGACCTCTGGTATCTAATATTCTTAACACCCATCCCTGCAAATTAAAATTCCAGTGCCTTCTCTCTGTGATCCCCCTTGGCGAACCATAGAACACAATACTAATTAAAGCACACAACTCACTGTTTGGGAAAACAGAAATGCTGTAGGGGGAATGTTAGATAATAAAAAACAATAATTTATGTTTAAGAGAGGGTTTTGTCACCTGCTGCTCATTACAGTTAAAAATTAACTGCATTTGGTTAACCAGCTGAACCAGCTGTCACTGGAGCCACTGCGAGCTCTTCAAGCTGGATTTAATCTCCATTCCACTGGTAAAGCTAAATCAGTTAAAACATGAAACTGCCATAAAATGCTCACTATTAAATGTTCACTCACTAGGCAACAAATCAGTTCTGGTTAATGATATGGTGCTTGACATCAACCCTGACCTGTGCCTACTAACAGAAACCTGGCTTAGACCCACTGACACTATTCCTTTAGTTGAAGCCTCACCTAATGGCTATACTTTTTTACAGAAAGCTTGTTGCTCAGGCCGTGGAGATGGCCTAGCAACCATCATCAGCGAGTCTCTGAGAATTGAATTCAAAACTATTAATGACTTTCACACATCTGAAGCAGTGCTTCTTAAAATAGCACCCGGATCATCTACATTCTTTTATTGTACAGACCCCCAGGACCATATGCATTGTGAATTTGGTGATTAAGTCATTAATCAAAGTTGTAATATTAGTCAACTTTAACATACATATGGACATACAGACAGACACCTTCAGTAAAAATGTATTGTCTCTCCTTGACTCTGTAGATTGTAGTCAACAAGACTAACACATGTATACAATCATACACTAGACTTAATTATCACTCATAGTGCTGATATTCATCATGTACTAGTCCATTCCATCAATAACTCTTTTTCTGACCACTCTTTAATTACTTCTGAGATTCAACTGCCCTTGATAGCTGCCAAGGACAAGACTATCATAACACGACACATCAACAGGGGTACTTAATTAAATGTTATGAACACGATGAACAATGCTAGCTTCATTTCCAGTATAATGTTCACGAATTCACACATAACTATAATACAGTGGTCAGACAGGCCCTTGATGAAATTGCCCCGTTAATGCTAAGGTAGTCAAAACCACTAGACACTCTCCATGGTATAATGATCACACACATTCCCTTAAACAGGAGTGCCGCAAACTAGAGCGCAAATGAAGGTCTACTGGTTTGCAATTATTCAAGTCGGCATGGACTGATAGCCTGCAACAATATAAGAAAGCCCTATATAGCGTTCGTTCAGCTTACTATTCTTACTACTTACTACTCAGAATACTACTTACTACTACTAATAAAAATAACCCTCGCTACCTATTTAAGACAATAGCTAATCTTACAAATAAAACCGATTCTATAGTACCATCTAGTTTTAGTAGTGACGATTTCATGAACTTCTTTTACGATACAATTAACAGAATCAGACTTCAATCACAATCAAATAAGCAACAAAGAAGTCTGGTACAGACACAATAATCGCACCTCTTTAGTGTTTTTCAGTTAGTTCATGAACAAGAACTCAAGAAATTAATTATTAAGACAAAGTCAACCATTTGTCAGCTAGATTCCATCCTCACTTGGCTAGTGAAAGATTCCCTCGAAGTACTGGTAGGACCTATAATTAATATAATATAAGGAACACATCCCTTGCCTCAGGCATTGTACCTGATCAATTTAAGATACAGATGCAGCCATTCAAAGTGAGCGGTACAGACACGTACCGCAGGTAATTGGCTGCGGTGTCGCGTATCATGACGCCAGATGACGCTGGGTACCGCGGTGCATGATTGGTTGACCGACAGGGGTACTCGTGGTCCGTTGGTCTGTCGTAGAAAGACTTACAGTAAACGTCTTTACTGTGCCCGTTGTAGATATTGAATTTCACCACTGAAGGGAAATCTTAGTAGCTGAGAATAAAAAGAATAGGAACATACTGTAACGCGTGTGAAGGCCATAAACGATATTAATTTTGGAACATAAACATACAGTATATAGCTGGTCTTGGTACTTTAAAGAAAAAAATACACACCAGTATTCCATTTCTCCCTAAACATT